GAAGAAGGGGTTCACTTTCGTCTCAGCCCACACTTCCCTGACCTGGGATGGGCCCACTAGGTCCAGCCCCACAGCTCCCTCCCCCACGGAGATGAGCACATAGAGACTGACTCAACCCTTCCTTCCCTCCTTACCACTTCTTCCTGGAAATTGCCCTCATCCTGGGCCCTGACCTGATGGGCCCTGGAGAATACCGCCAGAAGCCCCCCATCCCCCAAGGCTGGCCAGAAGGAAGAGACCAACATGGAGTCCCGCTCCTCTCCACTGGGCTGCAGCCAGCTCTGCACGCCTTGGGAATACAGGGCCCTGAGAGGTAGGTGGGATGACGGAGATGACAGGGATGGTCATCTTGGGGGCATCGAGAGAAGGCACTGGGAAGGGATGATGGAGGTCTCATGAGGTATGTGAGCTCCCTTCCTGGGTCACAGGGCGTCTGGGAGTGGTGAAGGAGCTCTGTTCAGCCCTGGGAAACCTTGAGTCCCAGCTCAGCACAGCCTGCGGTTCCTGTGACCTGAGCCCACCCCAGGCCTTGGCTGGATTCTTTTCCTTGATTGTTTTGTGTTTCCTTCCTCCCCAGGACTCTTGCCAAGCCCTGCCCTCCTCTCCTCCCTTTTCACCCCCTTTTGGAGAACTTGACCATCCAAGGCTGGGGTTCCAGATGAGCAGTCATCCACGGAGTCACCCCCAGATGGTGGCCTCTACTCTGGAGCCCTCCTTGGGAATTGGGTGGTAGGGGGACTTTCCTTTAGGTTTGAGTTTTGGCCTCTAGCCCAGTGCCATGGGGTTTTCCAGAGTGGTGACAGTCCTGTCCTAGCAGGAACAGCTCAGGCACTTCCTCCCAGAAGCCTTTGGGAGTATCCTGGCCCCAAATTACAGGATGAGCAGAGCCTGCCTTCAGGACTTCCTATGCCTAGGACTTCCTAGGTCCCTTGTCATTATCATGAAAAGCTTTCCCCATCTCAGGCTGCTCTCAAACTCTGAAACCTCCCTCCTCTGTCTCTGAGTGGTGGTATCACAGGTGTTTACCAACATACCATCCTAAAGAGACATTTTGTTTGTTTGTTTGTATTTTGAGACAGGGTCTCTCTACATAGCCCTGGCTGTCCTGCAACTCTGTGTAGACCAGGCTCTGGTCTCAAACTCACAGAGATTTGCTTGCCTCTGCCTCCAGAGTGCTGATAAAGGTATGGGCCACCATGCCCGGCCCATAAAGCTATTTTTTCATGTGATCTTTACCTGGGGACCTACTGTACTCGGGAAGACACAGTGGACAAGCTGGGCGAACCTCTGCAACAAATCACCCAAGGTGAAAGAACAGCAATTCTAAAAGCAGCATGGATGTGATGTGCCAAAGTCCTCAAGACAGCATCAAGCTACTGAGGAAAAAACAGATATGGATTTGCTGCCAGGGGTAGAGACACAAAGAAGAGGGTTAGCAAGGCTTTAAGGAAAGGGGGACAGGTGAGTTGGAGTTTGCTAGACAGAGAAAAGGAGGGACATTCCATGAGGACCAGGAGGAAGCCTGGGGAGACTAAGACCAAGAGGACTTGGCACATACAGAGTATGACCGTGAGGTGAGTTACACAACACAGCAAGGCACAGAAGGGGGCAGGAAGAGGGTGCACTGGCTATTTTTTTTTTTTTTTTTTTTTTTTTTTTTTTTGTCAACTTGATGCAACCTAGAATTCCTGTAAGAGGAAATATCAACTCAGGAATTGCTCAGATCAGACTGGTCTGTAACCATGTCTGTCAGAGACTGTTGTGACTCTGTTTGGTGGCACTGTCCCTCAGCAGGTGGGACTGGGTTGTATGGAAAAGCTAGCTGGTTGGATTCCTCTGTGGCTTCTTGAGTTCCTCCCGACTTCCCTCCCTCAGCGATAGACGGTGACCTGGAAGTGTGAGCTGAAATGAACCCTTTCCTCCCTGAGTTGTTAATTTAGCACAGCAGAGAGCAAAGGCGGGGAAGTGATGGGCTCTTTTCTAGAGCACAGGACCCGTCACTTGTTCTGGAGGCTGCTTCCCAACTTTGCAGTCTCCAGTGGGATTGACCCCACACCTCAAACTCTCAAAGTGGGCTTGAGGCTTGTACTTGGCCAGTCTGAGCCATAGCAATGGGTCAGGGGAGGATGGAAATGGTGTTAACAGGAAACACAAGCTTGGGAACTTCCTGGGCCTGTGAGGGTTCCAAACAAGAGTAGAGATGCTGGTGGCCAGCTCTGCTACCCTAAGCGAAGAGCCCGAGAGTAAGAGCAACAGGGGAAAGCAGGGGCACTTCCTGTGTTGGGTACACTTATAATCCCAATACTCAGGAAGTGGAAGCAGGAGGATCTGGAGTTCAAGATCAGCCTGGACTACTTAGAACCTGTCCCACCCTCCCCTTGAGCCAAGAAAATGAATCTATGACATTGCATGTGCTCCTGGTCCCAGCCATACCCAAAGCATTTTCCATTACATTAGCTAACAAATTCCAGTTTTTGCTTGGGGTTTTGGTATGATTTCTGTCACTTGCCACTGAGAAGGAAAGGCTCATTGCTGAGTAACTGAAGGCCATGGAGAGTCATAACAGTTGCTGAGTAAATCATGAAGGACAACAAAGGTCTTACAGAGGTATGCCACTGTGGTAGTTTGAATAAAAATGGTCCCCACAGGCCCCTAGGGAGTGGCACTATGAGGAGGTGTGGCTTTGTTGGAGTGGGTGTAACCTTGTTGGAGGAAGTGTGTCTCAGTCAGTCTCTTCCTGTTGCCTGCAGATCCAGATGTAGAACTCTCAGCTCCTTCTCCAGCCCCACGTCTGCCTGCATGCTGATATACTTTCCACCATGATGATAATGGACTAAACCTCTAAAACTGTAGGCCAACCCCAATTAAATATTTTTCTTTGTAAGAGTTGCTGTGGAGCCAGGCGGTGGTGGCGCACACCTTTAATCCCAGCACTCAGGGGCAGAGGCAGGCAGATCTCTGTGAGTTCGAGGCCAGCCTGGACTATAGAGTGAGTTCCAGGAAAGGCTCCAAAGCTACACCGAGAAACCCTGTCTCAAAAAATGAAACAACAACAAAAAAAGAGTTGCTGTGGCCATGGTGTTTCTTTACAGCAATAAAATCCTAACTAAGACAGACACAATCAGAATAATCATTTTTTTTTTTTAGAGACAGGATCTCACTATGTAGTTCTGGCTGGTTTCAAACTCACTGTGCTGGCTAGTTTTATATCAACTTGGCACATGCTAGCAAGGAGGGGGGACTTCAATTGGAAAAATGCCTCCTCCATAAGATATAGCTGTAGGGCATTTTCTTAATTAGTGATTGATGGGGGAGGGCCCAGCCCATTGTAAGTGGAACTGGGCTGGGTTGGTGGTCCTAGGTTCTATAAGAAAGTAGGCTAGCCAGGCAGTGGTGGTGCACATCTTTAATCCCAGCATTCCAGAGGCAGAGACAGGCTGATCTCTGTGAGTTTGAGGCCACCCTGATCTACAGAGTGAGTTCCAGGACGGCCAGGGCTGTTACACAAAGAAACTCTGTTTCAAAAAGCCAACAACAACAACAACAAAAAAAAAAAAGAAAGAAAGAAAGAAAGAAAGAAAGAAAGAAAAAGAAATAAAAGAGAAAAGGAAGGAAGAAAGGAAGACAGAAAGAAAGAAAGATAGGAAGAAAGGCTGAGCAAGCCAGTAACCAGCACTCCTCCATGGCCTCTGCATCAGCTCCTGCCTCCAGGTTCCTGGCCTGTCTGAGTTCCTGCCCTTGCTTCCTTCGGGGATAAACAGCAACGTTGAAGTGTAAGTCAAATAAACCCTTTCCTCCCTAGCTTGCTTTTTCTTCAACATGTTTCATTGCCAGTGCACTAGAAATCGTACCTAAGAAACTCAGTATGCAGACTGGCTTTGAACTTGTATTAATTCTCCTGCCTCTGCCTCCCAAATTCTGGGATTACAGGTTCCATTCTCATGCCCAATCCAGACTCACACTTCTTTTTTTAATTGAAATTACTTTTCCAACTAGGTATCTTTTCATGTGGCTCAAAACTCACAAGTTTCAAGAGTCAGTTTCTCCTTCACCCTGACCTCCAGGCACCCACTTCTCCCAGAGATGACAGCATTATCAGCTTTCACAAACACTCCCAGAGCTGTTGAGCAAGCAAGGCTCCTCCCATCTGTTTTACACAAATGCTAAATATTTAGACAAGTTGAGCCCCCAAATCCTGCAGGTACTGATGGGAGTCACAGGGAAGGCAGGACCTGCTGTTGGGGGTGATGGGGAAAGCCATCTTCTGTGGGGCCTCTCTGCCTTTCTGTTGGCATCATATTTTGCAGACTGCTTGCTGTGGTTTGGATATGCACTGACCCCTGAGTACACCCACATTGAAGTTTAATTCCAGGAAAGCTTGGTGGTGCAAGTCTGTGACCCCAGCACTGAAGAGGTGTTATATGCCATGCACTCCAGCAGAACTGAGACAATTGTGAACAAGACCCTCCTAGTCCTTGGGGATCAAGAGTGAATAGCATAAGTGACAGGCTATGGAGCACTTCAGGAATTAGGTGGCAGGAAAGTTGTGATTATTTTTGTTGTTAAAGCAGGCATGGGATGGGGCTGGAGAGATGGTTCAGTGGCTGAGAGGATCTGTTGTCTTTCAGAGTACAATTCCCAGCATCCATATTCAGATGGTTCATAACTGCCTGTAACTCTAGCTCCAGGGCAATCTGACACCTCTGGCCTTCTGAGGTACCTGCGTTCACATGCATGTAGCCCCCATACATAAATCAAGAATAATAATTTTGTTGTTGTTTTTGAGATAGGGTTTCTGTGTAATCACCCTAGCTCTCCTGGAATTCGCTTTGTAGACCAGGCTGGCCTTGAACTCACAAAGATCTGCCTGCCACTGTTTCCCAAGTACAGGGATTAAAGGCATATGCCACCATGCTCTGCCTAAGATAAATCTTTTATTTTTTTTTATATTTTTATTTTATTTTATTTATCTATTTATTTTGTTTTTTCGAGACAGGGTTTCTCTGTAGCTTTGGAACCTGTCCTGGACTAGCTCTGTAGACCAGGCTGGACTCGAACTCAGAGATCCACCTGCCTCTGCCTCCTGAGTGCTGGGATTAAAGGCTTTCGCCACCACCACCCGGCTCTTTTATTTTTATAACTTCTTTTTTATTTATTCTTTGTGTCTTTCACATCATGCATCTCAATCCCATTCATTTCCTCATCCCTTCATATCTGCACTCTGCCCTTGCAACCCCCTCCCCATCATAAACCTTAAAAAAAAAAGAAGCAGCCGGGTGGTGGTAGCACAGGCTTTTAATTCCAGCATTAGGGAGGCAGAGTTGGCGGATCTCTGTGAGTTCAAGGCCAGCCTGGTTTACAGAGTGAGTTCCAGGACAGCCAAGGCTACACAGAGAAACCCTGTCTCAAAAAACAAAAACAAACAAACAAACAGAAAAATTAAGGCTGGTGACGTAGCTCATTTGGCAGTGTTTGCCTAGCATGAGCAAGGCTCTGGGTTCGATCTCCAGCACTGAATAAACACCTATGTAATCCCAGCACTCAGGACGTAGGAGGACCAGGAGTTAAGGCCAGCTTCAGCTATATATTGAGTTTGAACAGGATATGGGAGTGACCCCAAGCCCTGTGACACATATCCCTAGAGGCAACTTCTGTTACTAGAAATGTTCTAGGGGGCCTCAGGCACTCATGGGAACAGCAGGCTTCAGGAGAAACCTGCTAGGAGTCAGGAATGATCTTGCTCTCCATCTCTGCTTGTTCTACGAGAGGTCACCTCTGGCCCCTCTGGTAAGTGAGATGTCAGAACAGGCTCAGTGCAAGAAGTGGGCCAGAGGGGAGGCCTTCTTCCCGATACTGCTCCTGCTGGGTGGAAAAGCCCCCTCTGAATAGCACCAGGGCTGGGGACCGCCCTTGCTGTCCTGTCTGTGCTCCTGTTGTGTGCTGGGACACGCCCTGGAGCCCCCGGGCATAATCAGGAGAGTGGAGTGGGCAGTGGAGACAGGGCTGGCCAGGGAAGTGTCCAGGAACCAGGGTCAGTGGGGTCACAAGCAGCAGCTGTTCTTGAGACCTCTGATCCAGGGCAGCTGCAGGCCCTCAGCTGTCAGGCAGGCTCTGGGCTGAGAGGAGCCTGGGGCTGGAGGAGGGTGGGGATGGGAATGTAGAGCTGGCTTTGGCCCAGCCTCCTCTGAAGGCAGCCCGCTCTAGGGCCCCAGACATTTCCAGATCGAGCAGAACAACTCAGGGTATGTGAGAGGTGGCCAGTGGCCTGAACACAGTGGCCTGAGCCCACCTTGGATGTCTGTCCTCTTTGGTGTCTGTCTGTTCTCTTGGACATCTTTGGAGGTTTCCCAGTCAGAACCTTGTATCTGCCCATCCAACACTGATCTTTGCCCTGTGACTTTTAGGTTCAAACGTTGCCCACGGCTTCCAGCTGGATCTATAGCATGACCCCCTTGCCTGCCAGGCTCCCAGGGCTGAATTTAGAATAGTGATCATTATGTCACCGTTCCCAGGCCCAGGTCCCACCAGATCAGCTCCTGGTATGCCAACGTTCCTCTCCTCTCCTGTCCTCCCAGGCACAGGGCTGGGTTGGTTCCCAGGACTCTTAAGCCACTCTACTCGGGTGGCTAAGTGCATCAGTGTATGACACAGATATGAGACAGTCCAGGACTCAGACTCCAGCCCCCTGGAGCCTTATACATTAAAGCAGAACTCATAGGCCCTTAGAAGGTCCTTTCTGCTTTGTGCAGCTGAGGCTGGCCCCAGACTCTTGATCCTTCTTCTGCCAGCTAGGATGATTACGGCTGTATGCTATCCTGCCACCATGCCTGGCTAGTCCAGCGGTTTAGTTGTAAAACTAAAAAAAAAAAAAAAAAAAAAAAAAAAAGTTATCTAATTGGGATATATAACAAATTTCAATTTTTTAAAAAAGAATATTTATTTTATGTGTATGTGCTCGTATATATGGGCATCATGTGCAGTCCCAGCTTGAGATACAAAGCAAGACTTTGTCTCAAGAAAATCCAAAACCAACCAACCAAAAAAGAAATAAAAAGGCTCTGCCTCCTGAGTGCTGGGATTAAAGGCGTGCGCCACCACCGCCTGGCTTGGCTCAGGGCTTAAGAACACTGCTGCTCTTGCAGAGGACCTGAGCTGGTTCCCAGCACCCACATGGCGGCTCCCAGCCATCTGTAACTCCAGATCTGTTCCTTCTTCTGACTTCCACGGTTCCTCATGCCTGTACATACACACATACTTGGGTACATACACATAAAATAAATGTTCTTTAAAAACTCCATGGGGCTGGAGAGACGGCTTAGTGTTTAAGAGCACTGGCTGCTCTTCCAGAGGACGTGGGTTCAATTCCCAGCACCTCACATGGCAGCTCATGGCATGTCTGCTACTCCTGTTCCAGGGGATCAGACACCCTCACACAGACATATATGCAAGCACATCAAATAAAAATAAACCATTAAAAAATAGATAAAAGTTAAAAATTCCAAAAGCTGAAGTTTATTACATATCCTAAAAAACAATTTTTCCAAGTGTTAAAACACATTCTTTGTCTGGTAGACGTAGTTCTGGGCTGGAGGGAGGAGCTGTGTAAGTGCCGGGCCATCACGTGGTTCTGCCAGGCCCAGGGCCCAAGTGAGGAGTTAGCTCGGGGAAGTGGCAGAGCCAAGGAACCTGAGGTCAAGGGGAGGAAACCTACACTCTGGGTGACTCCAGAAAGCAGGATGGAATGGAAGGACCTGAGGGCCAGCGTCCTGGCGTTGGCCCAGCCCTCCTGCCCCTGGGTGTCCCTAGCTTTGCTCCTGGCACTCGACTGAGTTCCCACGAATGGGAGCTATGAGGGGCTTTTGTTCCCCTCAGCGACTCTGTCCTACCCTCCCAGAGAAGGGGCTTGACTCCTAACGGGCAGCCACGCCTGAAAGGAGAGGGTGGCAGTTTCCCTCAGGGAGTGAAGAAAATGCTCTGGATAGGAGGAGGTAGGACTGCTTCTTCAGAGCCATCTATGTGCCCCACCCCCCCAGCTCCTGTCAAGGGTCCACTGGAGACCAGACCTGGGGGAGATGCCACCAAAAGAAGTTGGAAGGCAGATGGGGCCCTGCCAGCCTGTGCCCTCCATCACCGGTACTTCAGTTCCGAGATCACGTGCCCACGTGCAGGCGCACAGGCGAGCTCTATGGACGACAGATGCTGCAGGAGACTGGCACTGCAGTTGAAGTCGAGGACCAGGAAAATGAGTTGGCAGTCACTTGGCACCAACTTCCTGACAAGAGTCAAAAAGAACCTTCTGGTGGCAGAGGCACGTCTGCCAGACCTGTCTGCTCTGAGTTCATAACCTCCTTTTCGTTTGGGTCTTAAATGTCCTCCCCATCATCTCCAGCCTCATTTGACAGGTATCCAAGCAACAGCCCTACGCTTCCACTCACACCTATGACAGGGAGCCCTGGATTTCTCTTCCCACTGCCTTTGGGCCTCTCCGCTTGAACTCACAATCTCCCATTGCCAAGTGTCTGCCTCTGCCTAAGGCTCCAAATCTTCCTGAGTCTGGAAAGACAGGGGCTCTGTCCATTGTGGGGCTACAGCTCCCCAGAGGAGTCTCATGGACCCCCATGACGAGGGCTAAGGGGGGGGGGCAGCAGGATGTAGCTAGAGCTTGTTTATCGTGGCCTGGCGGTTTAATCTTCCCAGGCCGTTTCTAAGGCAAGGGCGGGCCGGGCTGAGAGCTGATGTTTGGCTTGGTTAAAACACAAAAGCTCTTGTGCCACACATGCCACTTCCAAGGCTGACAAATCACATCGGCAATGTGGACCATTAAATGTTTCCTACGGTCAGGTGGGTGGCGCACATCTTTAATCTCAGCACTGGGAGGCAAAGGCAGCTGGATCTCTGAGTTTGAAGCCAGCCTGGTCTACAGAATGAGTTCCAGGATAGCCAGGGCTACACAGAGAAACCCTGTCTCAAAACAACAAAAAACAAACACAAAAAAGTCTCCTGCCAGAGGACAAGGGTCACCGGCTCCCCAAGTTGGGGATTGTTTCTAAATCTTTCCTCACAGGCACTTTTTTTGGAACTTACTATGTAGCCCTGGCTGTCCTGGAACTCGCTCTGTAGCCCAGGCTGGCCTCAAACTCAGAGAGATCCACCTGCCTCTGCCTCCCGAGTGCTGGGATTAAAACCAGCCTCCCAAGCACTTTGACAAAAGGAGAAAGGAAGCAGTTCTCATGGTAGGCGACCTGTTCCCGATGCCTCCTCCTCCAGAGGTGAGGAGCACAGGCTGGCTCTGTGAGGGCCCCTATTTCCGTCAGTCAAAGCTGCTACTCCTCACACTTCCCAGGGCCTGGCAGCGTGTGGCTTCCTCGTCTTTGGCACACAAGGCAGGACAGCCTGCTTATGGGGGGCAGAGACTGGTGCCAGATTGAACTCTCTGCAGTCTTTCCTCAGATGCCAGGACATACCGGCATGGGGATGTCCTGGCCCCCCACCTTATCTGAGAGCTCTGGGCTACAGGCAAGTGCGAGCTCCTGCTGGACCTGAGTGACAACTGACCGGAGACTACAGCACGGAAGGGCTCGTCAAGGCTGCCTCCTCTAGATGGAGAGGTGGGGCTGAGACACAGCATGCGTGTGAGACGCGGTGTGTGAGAGGAAGCACAGGGGGAGCCAGGCAGGCTGCCAGCTGCTTGCTCTGCAGCCCAGTTTCTTCCTCAGCAACTCTAGTCTGGGGACTTTGGGAGGATGCAGGGTAGGGCTGGGAGAGTTCCAAGGGGCTGGACGGGGCCCAGTGTGACCAAAGCTCTGCCTTCTCTGGACATAGGTCAAATAGACAACATTCCTAGAACACTACTCAGGGGAAAAAAAAAAAAAAAGGAAAGGGGAAGATAGATTAAAATCAGTTTTACTAAAAATTTATATTTATTTCTCTGAACGCTGTGTTCGACTCATACAGAAAACCATGAAGTTTTCCTGCCTTTCTGGGCAGGCTGTCTCCAGAAATGGTTCACTTCTCGACACCCTATGTCCCTTGTGAGGTAAGGAGAGGCGAGAGGCATGACTCAGATCAAGGCCCAACTGCACAGGGCCCCAGGCCCGCAGTCCTGTTCCGCTCCTTGCCAGACAGGGACAGATCCCTGTCAGGTGCTTCAACAGTCTGGTCATCAGAGGGTCGGTCATACCTGGGCTCCTGGTGTCGGTGAGGCCACATGACTGAGGCTCAAGACTCAGATTCTGACCACCTGCACGGCCACACTCAGGCCCGGCCTGCCCTTACTGTCCATGGCCCCGGGCTGTCTCCTGAGGTAGAGGCGGCCGAAGGTGCCACCCACCTGTCCTTTGGTGAGTCGCCCAGGATTTATACAGACACAGCCAAGGATGTCCTGGAAAGAAAGGGCACTGGGTGTGACCTCGTCAGAATCTCACACTGAGTTTTAGAAAGCAGAAGCAAAGGCAACCACCCAGGCAGATATGTTCACTTGTAACTAGAGAATCTCCAGGGCAGATAAAGAATGCAGTAGCCTGCCGGGACAAGGAGCTCCTATCCTTCGGGACAAAACAGATCCCAATGGTTTCTGGTTTTTCTGCATGAGAAAATACTTAGGGGTTGAGTGGGTGTCACACACTGCACTCAGCACTCAGGAGGCTGAGGCAGGACGAGTGAGAGCTCAGGACATCCTGGGCTGTAGAGACCCGGCCTCAAATGCTCCCTCCCTTGAAAAGCAGAAAACCCACTGCTTAAGACTGGACTGGACCCAGCTTAAAAAAAAACTGGTGTGGTGGACTCCCTGGGAGGGACTCAAGCCTGAGGTGGCTGAGCATGCAGATCAGATCAAGAGCTTCTTTGAGGTACTGCTGGCTGAGCCCACAGGGAGGTCAGATTAGAATTCAGGGGAAGGCAGGCAGACAGGCAACATGTTCTCATATCACCTTGACATGGCCTGAAGTCCTCACTCTTCGACACATAGGCTCTACGCAGGTGGGCACACACTGCTTGCTCATGCTTCATTCCACCCATGGACGTCCCCTGCCCAACAACCAATCCTTGTGCTGGCCCCAAGCAGACACTGTCTCATTCAGTAGACCCAGGGAGAGAGAGTGCCAGGTAATCTGGAAGGAAAAGTCAGGTTCTGATGTCTCTGGCAAAAAGCCAGTTCAAACTTACCTTCACGAAGTACCGCAGCTCTGACGGCACGATGAAGACGTCAGGGGTGAAGAGCAGCTGAGCATAGGTATAGAAGTTCTCGTAGTCTATGGCCATGTCCTCGTGGGGCGGGTAGAGTGGGTAGTAGCTGCAGAGATGAAAGAAGTTCTAGTAGCAGCCAATTCAGGAACCCGGGGAGGCTCCCACTGCCCGTTTGAGGGGACAGAACCCAGTTTTGTCGCCACAGGGTGAAATTCCCTAGTGGCTGTGAAGCAGGTCTGATCCGGTGACTCAGGGGGTTGGCCAGTACGCTCACCTTCTCTGCGTCAGGATATGCTTGAGGATTCGGCTGAATCGGTCTGAAGTCCCAGAAGAGCTAGAAAGGAAGCAGAACCGGGTTTCTCCGTCAGTCCTCTTTAGGGAGGACCTGAGGACTCGAGCCGGCTAGAGAGAGGCTAAACCGCAGGGAGACAACGTCCTTTCCCAGGCCGGGCAGCAGGGCACGAGGCCTAGAGGGAAGAAGAGTCCTAGGAATCAGGATTTGGGAGGCCTCAGCACTGAAGCCGGCACCATCTTGCACGAGAGGACACGTCCTCTGCACCATGAAGCCACACACAGCCGGGTAACCCTACGTATCACACCCCAGCCAAAGCATACACCCAACTGAACTCCCCGGTGGTCCCTTTCCCAGCAAGGAAGGTCTGACGGAAGAACCAACTGCCTAGCCTAGACGCCAGGTCCGGCAGCGTCCGGCTCTCTGAGGGCCCCACGTTTGCCGTCTGATAAATCCCTGGTGAATCTGCAGAGAAGGACACTCGAGCACTCGGGTCACAAAATGCGAAGGTAAAGCGAAAGGGACGAGGGCCAAAAATGTGAATTTCGCTGCCGGGCGTTTCATGCAGACACAACAGACTGGGCTCTTTGGGGTCTCAGACACGGCAGACTAGTGACAGCAACTAATACGTCGGTCTGACTGCTGCCGTTAGCAGACAAGGGAAGTCCCAAGTTTCTGTATAGTGTGGCTCTCATGACCCCTTCTCAAGACTTGTCAGGTAGCATGATGTGGTGGGGGGCAGTGTCTTGGCGATGGCAGGGCCAGGATGCAAGGAGTCAGCTGTCTGCTGTTGACGTGGAATGTGTCTTACCTACAGATCTCCTCAGCCCCGATGTGGAACAGCAGGTCCGTGGATGTCAAGCCAAACATCACTCCATTTATGGAGAGGCTGCAGGGCTCGGACACAAACTGCACCCGCTGAAATGAGAAGGCGCTGACTTGAACATTTGCATACAACAGCTAGAGAGTTCCTCCCCAGAGAAGCCGGAGTCGGGAAGGGACAGAGACCACTGAGAAGGAGTAACCCACGTGCAGCAGTCTATGACCTGCTGGGAATCAGAAGTCAGGCTCCCAAGGGACTCTCTGCCCTCACCCACGGGGCTGTCTTCAGCCCACCCGCTGCTCACTGGCCAGAGGGGGCAATGGTACCTTTTTGTCCTCCCGAGGCAGCTCAGAGAAGGTAAACGGTGGCTGTGGGTATACCGGTTCATGATGCACGTCCCTCAGAGATGGGACAAAGACAAGGTGGGAGCCGGAGCTGCTTTGTGAAAACACAAGCATAGGAGGGACAAGAGGTGAGTGAGCAGAACGGCCACAGGCTCGGGGTGTAAGCACGCCCTCCATCAGCAGTCCTCCAGGGAGACTTGGATGGCATTCCACTCCACCAGACAGTCTCCCAGGACCCTGCGAGGGAAAGGCTGTCACTTTCACATGTCCAGCTGGATCTGATGCACACAGCTCAGGACACACAGTCCCTTGTTTTGTGTGGCATCCCACTACAGAGGGGAACTCTTGTCTGGTGGGAAAAGGGAGGAAACAGATCTAGATCTGGGCATGAAAGGCACGCACAGGCAACCTAGGCCTTGGGAGGCCAGAGAGGGTTGTTACGAGTTTGAGGCTAGCCTGAACTACACAGTGAGGCTTATTTAAGGGAAGTCTCAGGACTTAAACTTAGGTTTTACTCCACTCTACAGGGCATAGGTAGCTTGCGGACAATAAAGTTCTCTGGACACATGGCTTGGGTGAAACAAGTGAAGCCAGGGAGGAGTGAGGCCAACTGGTCAGACCCCGAGGTCGCCCCTCACACTTTGAAGATCAAACCAAACCTTTCAGGCAGCAAAGGCACGGCCAGGTCTACTGGACACCGAGGACAGAGACTGTTGGAGAGATATCCACCTCCCCACTCACATCAGGAAATACTCCAGAGGAGCAGCAGAGGCAGCTGCTCCTTTGACGGGGACAGGAGAGTCTCTAGGGTTACAACATGGAGTGGAGAAGAAAGCTGTGGCCCCCAGGGCCAACCGTTTTGGAAACCACACAAAAGAGAAAAGGGAAAACCTCTTCTTTGGTTCCCTTGTCTATCCTTGGCAGAGGGGCCCACTGTAAACCAAAGAGGCCAAACTGCTGCTGTGAGGGCATGCCTGGAACCAGCCGAAGCTCTCACTTGCAGCCCTTTCCTTCTCATGCTGAAACCGTGGAACAGGTGTAGATTCCCAAGCAGGAGTTACAGGTGGCTGTAAGCAGCTTGGTGTGGGTGCTGGGAACCAAACACCAGCCCTCTATAAGAGCAGCTATACTTCTTTTTCTCTTCTTTTTTTTTACACCTGGCTGGCCTCGAACTCAGAGATCTGCCTGCCTCCGCCTCCTGAGTGCTGGGATTAAAGGCCTGAGCCACCACTACCCAGCTAAAGCAGTAACTCTTAACTGCTGAGCCATGTCTCCATTCCTACATAGGGACTTTGGACATGTCATCAGATACTGAGGACTGGTCTGCTGTAATAGATCACCATAATCTTGGGAAAGGTACTTCGCGTATTATTCACAATCAAGTTCACTGCCATTGTCCAAGTGAGTGCTAGAGTCTGGTGAAGAAGCCAGGGAGTGAACTGAAAGGAACACCCTATGCTCCAGGTCTCCAGGAATGAAAGTCTTGAAGGTCCAAAGGACTGAGGTGAAGCTGTTAGTCCTCATGGGACTAGGCTGCTGTTCAGGACCGGCTTCAGGGGAGCAATGGTTAAGGAGGAAACAGCCTCCGCTCAATGGCTTGGAGCTGGCTATAGGGGGAGGGGCGGGGAGAAATTCCAACTATGCGCAGTGCTGCACAACTTCATGCATCATAGGGTGGGAGGGTCTCACTGCTGACATCTCTCAGTTCTGCTGAGAGTGTGGTGCTCTGCATTTCTGACCTAGCACCATTTATATGCAGATCTGGCAGGGTGGGGCTGTGCCCCTGCTTTGCAGCTCACACTAGCCACAGATGAAAGTGCCTGGTGGTGCTGGGTACTGGCTCCCTGGGTAACAATGCTTGGTCTATTCTTTGTTTGTGTCACTCCTATCAATAGCACACGGGATGAGGAACCAAAATCAGAACCCAACCTCATGTCGGAAGCACCAGCCAGTGCTGGGTGCCGCCCCAGTGCCTGCCCCTGCTTTGGAGGCTAGGGGTTTATCTCCGAGGACCTCAGCACTCCCCTGGTTTGGGGAACTCAGCTGGGGCCCTAACAGACCTGGGGAGAGGGAAGGTATCTGTAACCCCCCACTTGAGAAGGGAGGGGAAGGAAGCAGTGGAGGGCTCAAGTCTCCTGGCTCCAGGCCTGATGCCAGCACAAGGTTGTATTACAACTAATCAACCTGGGATCTGTTCTCAGGACGGAAGGCGGAAGGAAGACCTTTAAAAACCACCGTTGTTACAGGTTTGTTTTAAATCTCAGCTCAGGAAGGTTTGTTTATTGTGGGTTCAGCAACACGCAGTAGATCCCAGGAGACTGCCCACCACAGCCTTCTCTTTCTGACCTGCCCAACAAAAGACAGGAGCGCGGGGTCGGCTTCCTGATGTCTCTGTGTCTAGCTCTGAACTCTTCCTGGAACCATAAGGCCCTCACACACGGTCCCAGCTATGCTGAGGATTCAGGACCCACCCTCACTGGAGTCTCCTCCATCCATCGCTCTAGCCCCTGGCAGCCATCCACCACGATGGGGAAGCACTGACTCTGGGAAGGAAGTTGGGCTTACCCCAAAACATTCCCTTCACGCAACAAGAGGCTTGGGGCCTCTCAGAATTTCATTGCCAATCAAATGCTTCCCCAAACCACCCTGGGAATATTCCCATGGAGTAACAGTTTATACAAGGGGAAGTGAGAAAAGGAAGTAAAGAGAAAGAATGGAGGAGGACGAGTGTGTGTGGAGTTTGTTTATCTGACTTACAGAGATGCCTGTGTACCCACTGAGGCTGAAGGTCAAGGGTTCTATCTCATCTCTAAGTCCAAAAGGACAGAAAGGACAGGAACACAAGTGGCCTAACCAGCTTCGATTTCCTACCGGCATGTCCTGGAAGAATCTAGAAAGCTGCAGGTCTGCCCGGCATCTGGAACACTGACCTTCTTGTTCCCTCGATAACTGTTCTCAGGCACTGCTTGAAAACGTCTTCAAATGGGCTTGTCAGCTGACAGTTCTGCAAGAGAGGAAAGGAGCTGACTCAGAAGAGTGCCTCGGCTTGAGGGACGACCCGAGGGGCTTGGAGTGGACAGGGACGGAGTGGACAGAAACGTGACAATGAGGACGATGAGAGCCAGGCACGGGGGCTTTGGAATCCCAGCACTCAGGAGGGTGAAGCAGCCCTGCTGTGAGCTGCAGGCCAGCTAGGATACAGACTGAATTCTAAGCCAGCCCAGTTCCAGTGTAAGACCCCGTCACAAACAAAAAAGGGGGGGTGGGGTGGGCTGTCCACGTGCAAGGAGCTGAATCTAGATCAGGTTAGAATTAGTCCTCTGGCAGGCTAGGCAGTGGTGGCGCACGCCTTTAATCCCAGCACTCAGGAGGCAGAGGTAGGCGGATCTCTGTGAGTTTGAGGCCAGCCTGGGCTACAGAGTGAGATCCAGGACAGACAGGACTACACAGAGAAACCCTGTCTTGAAAAAACAAACAAACAAACAAACAAAGTCCCCTCGCCACATAACAATCCTCTTGCATGCACACTGAAAGTCTAGGATGAAGACAGCCTTGAAATCCTGTTGATGGAGGTGAACCACCTGCCAACAAGGGACAGGAGACCCAGGCCCTCGACCAAGATCCTCGGAAGAACCGTGGTTCATGTATTAGAGGGACTCATGACATGATGCCAATTTGGGACAGTGGCCACATAAAGGATTTCATAGTATCTGCCTCTTCAGTGAAGTAGCTACTCTATCAGTCTCATAGGCAACTTTGAGACCAGCCAGCCAGACCCACGGCCGAAGCCCATCTGCTTGTGTTACTGTTTTTGTGCCTGAGCAGTGAGTTGGGGTAGACAAAGGAACCACCTATTTCCAGTTCCCTCCCTGGCTTCCAGATGATTTTGTGTACTAGTGGAACGGAGCCTTCAGATTCAAGGTGTTTACTAGACACGGCCAGTGACGTTTTCCTCGTTAGCCACAGGGTTGATGTAAGCCTGCTGCAGATACAGATAAACTCCAAAGGAGGAGACTAAGAGAGAGTGTCTAGGTGAGTGCAGGCACCCAGTCCCTCCCCTCCCCTCCCCTCCCTTCCCCAGGTACTCACCTCCACCTGCTCGTGTTTAGCATCCAGGAAGGGTCCAAACTGCAAATGAGCGGAGGTGGGGAAACAGAAGCCCCCAAAGAACAAATCAGAATCTTCCGTGTCTGCTAAGGCTTTTAGACAAATTGTCTAAAAGCAGTTCCCTGCCCGAGTCCACTTGTTCCTCCCAGGTTGCCTGGAGGGCCTGGGGAGGTAGCAGATGGGCTCTGGAGCATCTGAGTCCTGTTCCCTCAGGGGACTTCCCAGGGCCCTATAACCCTTGTGGCTGCCCCAAATGACACTGGGCTCTTTTCTGTTTTTTACACCTAGTAAGAACAACAAACCACCATGTTACCAGTAGTATGTTGGCCATAAAAAGAGATTAGTTTAGGATTGGGGTACCAAGACAGAGCAAGAATGCTGTAAAACCAGGAAAGAAAGACAATACTGCTGGCCTCAGGGCTTAGTGATGGCTGTGGAGTATGTGTACACCTCCAGAGGTGCAGATCGAGAATTAAAAAATCCTGGCACTTGGGAGGCAGAGGCAGGCAGAACTCTGTGAGTTTGAGGCCAGCTTGGTCTACATAGTGAGTTCTAGGCCAGCCTCGTCTACACAGTGAGACCTTGTCTCACAAAATCAAAAATAAGGAAAGAATTAAAAACAAAACAAAATCTTCGTAAAAGGAGACAGATTGATGTTTCCTAAAAACTCAGAATAGCATTAAAACCCCTTGCTATGTCTCGAAAAACAAAACAAAACAAAACAAAAAAAACAAAACAAAACAAAACAAAAAAAAAACCCCTTGCTAAGGCAGATTTCATTCCCAACCCACAACCTCCCTGCACACTACTATCCCGGGGACCTACCAGGATGCAGACATCTGGCCGGTCATGGTTGATGATGGTGATCAGATCAAGCAAGGGGTCGTATGTGATGCTGTCAGAGGTGGTATAAGGCCCACAGGCAACTAAAACCATAGTTTGCTCACAATCTGAGACAGAAGGCATTGCAAGGTCATGAGGAGGAAGAGGAGAGCTGATATTGGGTAGAGGGAGAATGAAGGGCCATTGAAAGAAAATGCCACAGGATTTGTCACACCAAGTCCCATGAGTGCAAGACTGGGGATTCCAGTCGAGGACCTCATCCCTCCCCCAAGAACATCGAACCAAGTATAGAACACAGGCAGCAAGGAGCTGGAGCCATGGAGTGCACCTGGGCAACGTGAGCAGAAAGACAGGAAAGAATTCATCCAAGTGACATGTGCTCACACTGCAGAAGTTAGGGGCCATCTAGGGGTCGGTGTGGTGGGAGAATGTGGGGAAATCGAGGCCTGGAAGGGCAGGCTCTGTTGGAAGCCTGGACACTAGACGACCCTGCGGGTTCTTGTGCTACCTGGACACTGAAGCTGCTAGGTTTGTGGCCCACCCTAACCTTGGGTTTCTAGCCCCTGTCCAGACAGAACTATCTGAATTTGGGTGTTTAAAGTCAGTCTGAGCTAGTTTGTGAGGCTTACACAACAAGCCTCCAAAATTCCCCAAATTTTCTAATATGTAGCATTACTTTCCTATCGGTTCTGTAAGAAATTATTTCAGGGATTGGAGAGATGGCTCAGCAGTTAAGAGTGCTTACTGCTGTTCCTGGGGACCCAAGTTTGGTTCACAGCACCCACATCAGGCAGCTCACAACTGTCTATAACTGTTGCCCCGGGGACCCAACATCCTCTTCTGGCCTCCATAGTTACCTGTACCCACAAGTGAACATAGCTATACACAACACACATAAAAATCAAACAAACAGAAACAAATTTTAAAACAATAAATAAAATAAAAAATTATTTTGTAGTACCAAACTTGGTAGCTAATGCAATTTACTATCTTACATCTTTGGACACTGTAAGTCCAGAAGTCAAGTTGTCAGCATGGCTGGGAACCATCCGGAGGCTGTCTGTGCGCTATCTTTAAAGTCAGCGGCCTAAAGTTTCTATTCCGTGACCATGTTCATAGGGACCCATGTGATTGCACTCAGCCCACATGTATAATCCCATTCAAGACTCATTATGTAGACCAGGCTTGACTTGAACTTACAAAGATCTGCCTGCCTCTGCCTCCTAAGTACTAAGGCTAACAGTACACACTACCACACCACCCAGACCATATAAAGTAACATATTCACAGCCCTGTGGGATCATGGAAGCGATATTCAGTCTACTACAGGACTGAGACCAAGAAGAATCTACCTTTGTCCCCCACACAGATAGTTTCTGAGACTGTGTACAATGTCATGAGCTGATTCTAGGTCATGTCCAAGAATGACTTTGCATGCCATCACTGTGTGGGGTACTGGCAGTATGCCAGCGCTGGCATTGACTGAAAATCTTTACTGGTGTTTGTTCTACTTCACTTACAAAAATACTTAGAAATACCCACCCCCTTTCTTTAAAAAAGACTTATTTGCTCTATTTATATATATGCCTGCATGACAGAAGAGGGCATCAGACAGAACAGGGAATCAGATGGCTGTGAGCCACCACATGGGTGCTGGGAATTGAACTCAGGACCCCTGGAAGAGCAGCCAGTGCTCTTAACCACTAAGCCATCTCTCCAGTACATGTCCTCTTTTTCATTTGTGACAGCAGGGGATCAAGCTCAGAGCCTCACACACGCTATACAAGTTTTATCTACCCAGCAAGACCTCCAGCCCAGCTTATGGGTATTTTGAAACAAAGTTTGCTAACTTAAAAACAAAAACAAAATACACATATAATTTTTATTATCTTGCTTTTTCCCCATACAGGGCACTTGTTCAATTCTTCCCGTCCCGCCCCCCCCCCCCCCCCCCCCCCCAAGGACAAGGTAGCCCTGTGTAGCCCTGGCTGTCCTGAAACTCACTCTGTAGACCAGGCTGTCTACAGAGATCTGCCTGCCTCCGCCTCCTGAATGCTGGGACTAAAGGCGTGCATCACCATTGCCCAGTTCTTCTTCTTTTTCAAAAAGACAGTGTCTTACTAGGTAGCCTTGGCCGGCCTGGAACTCCCTACGTAGACCAGGCTAGACCTGAATGCAGACAGAGATCCACCTGCTTCTGCCTCTCAGGTGCTGGGATTAAAGGCGTGCACCAGCACAGCACACCTAGCCAGAAACTATTTTTTACAGTTACACCCTTATCGTGGAATGACTATAGAACTGCACAAACTTGCAAAGAGAGCACAGAATTCTGTCTTTCCCCAGAGCCCTCTAACATTAACATTTCCTACAACACAGCACATTTGCTGGAATTATCAGTATGTTAACCGCTGACTAAACTAGGTTTTTCCAACAGCGTCCCTTTCTCCTCCATGATTCCCTTTGGGACACCCAGTGGAGTTATAATGTGTATATCATTTCCCTTTTCAAGTACCCTTCACATGCCTGTTAAGCAGTAGCCCGGATTACAGGTGTTTACTTTGTTATCACCAGAGCCCAGACAACGCCACTATCAGTGCTTAAGCGGTTCAGACCCACTAGTGACTCGTAAAGAGGAAGTAAGCCCACTGATCAGCTGTGTCTGCACTGCTCGGCATGTCGCTCCCACACAGCTTTGCTGTTTCCTTGAGCCTGGGCAACTACAGTCTGGGACTTTGTCTATCACCCCCATTGTTGGCAAGAAAAAATTTGAACCAAAACTTACCACCATCCTCTTCGGTGGGCTGATAGAACGGAAGTGGTACCCCCTGAAACAGAAAGAACGCTCAGCTGAGGTCTGTTCCCGCCGTTGCTTGGGTGACGGATGGCTCTGAGTGTTTGCAGGTGTGCAGTGGGAGGACCGTGCGAAGCGATGAGAGGGGACTTGTCTCTGCCTTGCTCTTGGCGTTACAGGTAGAGCCCCGGTTCTGCCATTTGTCTAAATAGCTCACCGTGACTTAGCAGACCAGGCAATGGGAAAACCCTTGGCTCTCTCAAGCAAAGTGGGTGCCTAAACCATTGGCATGCTGGGCGAGGATGGAAGGGAAGGGAGCCCACCTACTTCTCCTGGCATTCTGTGGAAATTCATCTCAAGAGGACCACAGTGGACAGCAGAGATAAGTAAGCTACAGCTTGAGGCCAAATTTGACTACAGACATTTTTTTTCCTGGTTTTTCGAGACAAGGTTTCTCTGTGTAGTTTTGGTGCCTGTCCTGGATCTCGCTCTGTAGACCAGGGTGGCCTTGAACTCATAGAGATCCGCCCGCCTCTGCCTCCCGAGTGTTGGGATTAAAGGTGTGTGCCACCACTGCCCGGCTGCAGCCATTTTTTTTAAAATGAAGTTTTCATTTGTTTATGAGTGGCCTATGGCTGCACTGGCACTATAATGATACAGACACGTTTAAATATTTGCTGCTTGGCTCTCTGGAGGAAACAGTTTGCTAATTTACAGCTTGGAGGTGGGTTCCAACCCTAGAAACAAAAACTACTAACAAACATGCAGAGTCTGAGAAAGACCAGTCCCTTGTCCCAGAACTGCACACACTGAGCTGGAGCAAACATGAGGTGGTGGAGAGGCCCATCTGTACCTCGTAGAGCCTCGTGGCAGCAAGTCTCCTACCAGTGGTGTTGAATCCTTCCATAATTACAACCTGAAAGACAAGACACACAAGACTGCTGACCAGGAGAGAGAAACGAGAGGGCCGAGATAAACCACTTTTGGTAATTATAAACTTAGGGCATTTCCCAGAAAACAAATGAAGGGGGGCTGTATCAGTCACAATTACGCTCTTCAGAGATGACCTAATTCTCACAACAGTCGCATGAGGTAAGAATTTTTATTTCGCTTTGTGGATGAAGACACCCTGGCTTTGAAGGCCAAGTACCTCACCCACAGCCACACACCTCATGCAGTGGAGCTGGGATCTGAACCTGGGCAGTTGGACCCAGGAGAGGAAAAACAGTCTGTAAAACAGTGGACCTATACAACCCAATCTCATGGCAACAGAGACGGAAACCAAGAAATAGCTGCCCACTGCACGCTCTCAGGTCTGCATCTCAGGAGGCTCCACAGTCTCACCTGTCCAGGAAAGAGAGAATATTCCTTGAGGTCGGATAAATCCACCGGAATCTGAGTGCCCGAGGAGTGTTCCCGGTCTCCCTCGAGAATCACTGACTTGCTGTTCAGCTTGCCATTGCTGTCACAGCCAATCTGGCCCAGCAGGATGACAGGCTCCTACCAAAGGAAGAGTGCAACACAATGGTGGGACAGTGAAACCCAAAGAGCATATGTCCCGGGAGGTGCTCGCAGCATCACCACTGAAAGCGGAACGACCCTTCAAGGGTGTCTAGTCCACCTCCTGCCTCCCAGGTGTGCTCTGAGAGGCTGCCTGAGTGTGAGCATTCGCAACCAGGGGGAAGCCCCCCAAGCCCCGCAGCCCACAAGCACTTCTAGAAAACCAGAGCTATTAATAGATCACATTCACTGAGTCTACCACACACCGTTCTCAGATGACATGTATTAACGCATCCAGCCCTCACATCACCATGAGATAGCTATGGCTACACCCAGCAACAAGAGGCAGAGCCACATGATAATTTCATTAAGGTCAAACAACAGTGAAGCCTGGACCCAAAGGTCGGAAGTTGGCTCCAGGGCCAAATCCTCAGCCATGCTGTAGTTCCTCTTGGTACCTGCACGCTCCTGCCTCCCCACGGGGTTTTGCTACATAACACAGTCTATCCTTGAACTCTCAATCTTCCTGCCTTGGGCTCCCAAGTGCCCAGATACCATGTGGGACATCACATTACCACTTCCACAGGAAGTCCTTCCTAGACGGAACTGACATCTCTCCTAGTGGCTTCCTGTGTAAGCTCCCACTCTTGGGAGCAAACTGAGAATATCTAATCTTTCCCTCATGTGCAGCCCTGCCCCCACACTTCCTCTCAATTTCTCCAAAACTTACTACAGGACAAAGTTTTCTTTTCTTTTCTTTTCTTTTCTTTTCTTTTCTTTTCCCCCCATGAGACAGGGTTTCTCTGTGTAACAGTCCTGGCTGTCCTGGCACTAGCTTTGTAGACCAGGCTGGCCTCGAACTCACAGAGATCCGACTGCCTCTGCCTCCGAGTGCTGGGATTAAAGGCGTGCACTGCCACCGCCCGGCTAAGGACAAAGTTTTACGCATGGTCACTTCCCCTGGAAGCAAACAGGACAAAGGTACATTCCGTCAAGGGTTATACAGGACACATCTTCTCTTAGATTGGATGCTCCAGAGAGTACCCACACCAGAATTAAAGCATGATGGAACTCTAGATGCCAGAGGCAGCCACTGATCTGCATCAGTGCTCAAGCCAGAGGAATCGCTCAGGCAATGAGAGAATTCCCAGCCCACAGTTCTCACCTTGCAAACCCAGACACTTCTACCTGCAGAAGGTCCCCAGAGGCAATCTCCTCCACCACGGAGAAAACAAGGTTTCAACCTGTTTGTGTATAGGACCCAGTCCACGAGGGAGGAAAAGTCTGGCAACATAGCCAGGGAGCACTTCTTTTTTTTAAGAGGGACCCATTTTGTCAGCGCTAACCAAGACTGAGAGTGAACCAGCAGACCTGGTGAGTGGAAGAAGGCTTCTTCACTGACTCCAGAGAGTAGTAATAATTTAAGCTGGGCGTGGTGGCACACACCTTTAATCCCCCTTTAATCCCAGCATGGGCGGGGGGGGGGGGGGGGGGGGGGGGGGGGGGGGGGGGGACGACACGACACGACACGACACGGGACAGCTTTCTCAGTTCAAAGCCAGCATGGTCTACATCAGGAATTGAGAGTAGAAGTAATTAGTGAGAACTCTTCAAGTGGCTCTTACTTGTGCTGGTTCTAGAAGAGGAGTAAAAGCCTCAATCTTGTAATGCTCCTTCAGTTCGCTGCCAAGCTCTTCTATCTTACAGGTCAGAACTGCAATCAGAGGTGACAGGGTGCTGTCGGTGAGACAGAACACATCGTCCAGCATCACAGCCGTTCCACAGGATCTAGGAACATGGACATCTGTGCAGTCTGACCTCAGGCCTCAATCCATCTTCTGACACGATTACTAAACTGGTTTTCCACTGGGCTCATGGCACAGTCCCAGAGCACCATCAAGAGACCCACCCTAGCCGGGCGGTGGTGACGCACACCTTTAATCCCAGCACTTGGGAGGCAGAGGCAGGCGGATCTCTGTGAGTTCGAGGCCAACCTGGGCTACAGAGTAAATTCCAGGAAAGGCGCAAAGCTACACAGAGAAACCGTCTTGAAAAACCAAAAAAAAAAGGAAAAAAAAAAAAAAAAAGAAGCCCACCCTTACTAGACTGCAGGGAACTCCAGGTAACCTGGGAGTTTCCAAGGAAGCAGCTGAGTGCTCCTAACTCAAGAGCTGAACTCCTTCACAGCTCACGCTCCACTACTAGGGTGGCTGTGCACTTTTCTTCAGTGAACCACACAACTTGGGAAATCACAGCATCACCCAGCGTCCTTCCCTTCACTTAAAGAGCACCCATAAGGACATCGGCCAACCTCTGGATTCAAAGGCCTCCAGCTGAGTCAGGCTTTGTCCCTTCATGTCTCTCAGTCCTTCTGTGGGGCTTTAAACCTACCAGACTTTCCAAGAGGAAACCGGTTACCTTCACGAATATCTGAGAGCTGCTGAAACATGGCTTTGTAGCTGCCTGTGAGTGGCTCTGGGCATGCTATGACCTTCAGGCTGACACTTCCAGAACCTCCTCTCCCAGACCAGGACACGCCTTGTGCTGAGCCGAATGTGGTGACCACTTCTCCTCGGTTGGTTCTGGAGCTGTATTTCTGGGAGGGGGCAGCACTGATGGGAAGCAGAACAGATTAGTATTACCGTGCCTGTGGCTACCTGAGACAGGAACACGAGGCAAGGCTTGGGAGGCCTGCAGAAAAAACAAACTGTCTTACAGATCTCATCAACATGGAGGGGCTGGAGTACTCTGACCTTTCAGGAATTTCGGGAATGAGGTACTAAGGAACACCAGAATACAAAAGTTTAGAAGTTTAAAGACAAAAACATATAAAAAGCTTGTTATTTTTTTCTCCATCAGAACTAAATGAAGCAAAACAAAACACGCTCTGAACTGACTGAAAGGCAAGTTTTAACTCTTTTCCCTCCTTCGTGTGAGTCACCCATGGTTACCAACCTGTTATTTGAGCCTGAAACAGTGACTGGGTCAGGTATTGCTGAGCAAATACAAAAACCTACAACGCAGTTGAAACCAGGCGTGGTGGCACACGTCTGCAATCCTAGCACTCAGAAAGTGAAGGCAAGATTGAGACCTCAGGGCCATCCTCAGCCAAGTTTGAGGACAGCTTAGGGAACAGAAGATCTTATCTCTAAAAACAGAGCAAATAAAAAAACTCCGAGTACAGTTAGTTCAAAGATGATCAAGTAACACTAAAATAGAAGTCCAACACAATAAGCGAACCTTTCCCTTGCCTCTGTGGAGGTGGGGAGGCAATGAATGAAGAGTTAAGAGGGAGCAAGCACCTCTTACCCCACTCCAAGGCCGCACCGACCAACTCTGTGTCCATCTGACTGGCTAACCAGAGTGCCAATCCAAGAATGTTGCTGATCTGCTTGGAAGCTTCTAATCCTCCTGCTGTGAACACTGCCTACGGAGAGGTCTAGAAACACGCAACACCCAGCACTCTAAAACTCTGTGGGAACTCACTTCACAAGGGTCATGGTCGTAATTGTTGACAACATCCCTTCTTTCCAGACAAGTTATAGAAAATGAGCTCAACTAATTATCTTTATCTCCAGGGCTGCCTCTACCTAAATAATTTACAGACTACTCTTATAAATTACAAAACGAGCTTCTGATGTCAGCTTTCTTAGTGTACATTAAAACAACGATCTGGCAGGGGAGTTACCAGCCTCTTTGGGCTCCACCTGTGAAGGGCATGCGTCACAGCAGCCCTCTAGTGCCATCAGATGCTCACAGGGGACAGCCATGGCCAGAGAAACAGATTTAAAGAGCTTCCTGCTTAGAGAGGCTGACGCCCACAATGGTTCTGCAACAACTATTTGAACCCTCATAGGTTCCAGAAATGCCCCCCCCCCCCTTTTTTTGGTTTTTCGAGACAGGGTTTCTCTGTGTAGCTTTGCACCTTTCCTGGAACTTGCTTTGGAGACCAGGCTGGCCTCGAACTCACAGAGATCCACCTGCCTCTGCCTCCCAAGTGCTGGGATTAAAGGCGTGCGCTGCCGCCGCCGCCGCCCGCCGCCACCGCCGCCGCCGCCGCCACCACCACCACCACCACCACCACCACCCGGCTTGATACCTTTCTTAACCGAGGCCTTAGAAGCTAGAAATGCCCTTTTACGTCTAGAAAGTTGACTCTGGAAAGCAGTTTTGAGATTTCTCTGAACCAGGTGGACCACAGTGAAACCAAACTGTCCTTCAGGATCCAATAACCACCCCCGGGACAAGGGCCGCAGAGCCTCCAGTTACTGCCTCTCTGTATTCTACGTGTGTTGAGTATTTTGCCTGTGTGGATGTATGTGCACCATCCATGTGCCTGGTATCTGCAGAGGCAGAGAGCTTGTGGACCCCCTGAACTGGAGTTACAAATGGCTGTGGAGATGTAACACGGAGGCTGAGAACCAAACCTGTGTCCTCTGCAAGAGCAGCCAGTGCTTTCAACTGCTGAACCACCTCTCCGCCCGTCACTCTCTAAAGTGACAGAACTGAGAAGCCTACACTCCGGTTGGTTTAGAAGGACCCAGAGGTCGGTAGTTCCCTAAACGGTTGAAATGCTGTTCCTGAGGCCCATCCTGATGTGACAGTCTTATAAACATGTCTTCTCAGCCAAGCACTCATCTGTGGATTTCTCTAATGGAGACCTATCATTTATGGATTTTCAGTCACACATGATCTCTGCACATTTATGCATAGGGGTGGTAGCCATGAGGAAATCTCAATTAAGCCTCTGAAGGAGAAGATTCAGTGATGAGAAAATGCTCAGAAGCCAGCTGTCACCTGAGCACGGGACAAACAGGTTACGCAATACTGTGAACAAAGGTGCATACTTTTCCTTTAAAAAAATACTTCAGGTTACAGAAAGAAACCCAAGTAAACACAGACGAGTAGGAGCAGGTGGGAGCCTATTGGCCCTGACTGACCAGACGCGCCAGACGCCCGGGCTTCTGAATAGCCAGGCTGTTTTCAATAGGAGGTATCAGTTCCCGATCTAGGAAATGAGCCCTAGAGAAGTGGGTGGAAAGCAAGTTTCCCTAATTACTGTAGAAAACAGTAATTTTCCACAAGGCAGAGAACCACAGGCTTCCCAGCCAGCTCCCAGCAGACACCCCGCTCCTCTGGCGGTTAATAAGTTACTCGCAGTTCCCTGTCAGCAGAGAAGGAGGCGCAGCTTTCTTGGCACTTGGATCGATCATGACACATACCTCGGGGAGAAACTCGATGGCGAGAGAAGCTGATGTGGGCTACGTGTAGAGACACTCCTTTTTGTTAGGGGGGTTTCTGGGGTGCTGCTAGCTCGCTTATGAGGACCCTAGAAACAAGATGAAAAATGAAATCCCAGTCACTCTGGCTTCAAGTCGCTAATTAAGTATAGACCCGCTGCAGTGCCTTAGCAAGGACAAAGTGGCACAGTAAAGGGCACAGGCAGGGCCGGGGCTCTCCAGGAGCCATCGCCAGCAGAGATCACACAAACCTTCAAGAGAAACCCAGCCCCCACCAGGACGCTATCTGCACTCTGAAGGCTATCATGAAAAGAATGCAAACATCTCCCAAAGAGGAGGGCCAGCCCAGCTGACCTGTCAACCTGCACGCACATCTCCAGCCCCACCGCTTCCTGCTTTTAGCAAAGACCCGAGTTTGGCAATACACAGCTTTGACCTGAGTGCACACATTCTCTGGAGAAGGGATGGGACCATGTTACACTTCTTTTGGCCAAGTCTACCACACATTTTCCAAATTAAAGCCTGGAATAACTCCAGGAAGATAAGGTAGGTGAGCTCATGCTTGGAGAGAGCTGTCAGCAAAGACCTCACTCATGGTCACATCTGGGTCTTTTTTTTTTCCCCCTTTTCGGTTTTTCATTTCTTCTCTCTCTCTCTCTCTTTTTTTTTTTTTTCTGTGCTCAACAATAAGAAGTCAAAAATAAGGGGTTGGGGATTTAGCTCAGTGGTAGAGCGCTTGCCTAGCAAGTATAAGGCCCTGGGTTCGGTTCTCAGCTCCAGAAAAAAAAAAAGTCAAAAATAAGTACAAAATAAAGGATGAAACCCAATCACAGGCCCTAATATTCCCTAAAGCCTCGGATAATGGGGTGTGTTAACAGGAAAGACAAATGTCTTGTTCAGCCCAAGGGCTCCAGCGCATATGCAGAAACTTTTCTGACTCAAGGGCTCCTCTTGCTGGTCATTTAAGGAAAGGCCATCAAGCTATCGATTGGTAGAGTCTGTAGGACCCAGGGTGAGAACAGACTCAGAACCATCACTAAGACAAGCATGATGGCTCATACCTGAAATCCTAGCTTTTGGGAAGCTGCAGTGCAAAGGTCATCCAACTTCCAGGTCAGCCTGGGCTACAGAGTAAGACTCTGACTCAAAAAAAAGAAAAACTAAGAAGCTATATCGGAAATTAGGCTTTCAAATATTTGTGGTTTTATTTATTTAAAGATTTTATTTTATTTATGTGTATGTGAGCATATGCATGCAGGTAAAGGTGCTTAGGGAGGTTGGAAGAGGCATCAGAACCCCTGGAGCTGGAGTTACACACACCTGTGAACTGCCTGATGTGGGTGCTGAGAATTGAACTTGGGTCCTCTGCAAGAGCAGCAAGATCTTGTAACTAGTGAGACAGCTCTGCAGCCTCTGTATTGTTTTTTGTTTGAGACAGTATCAGGTATTAAAGCCCACATTGGTCTTGAACTCAGTGTAGCTAAGGCTATCCTTCAACTCCTGAACTGCATGCCTCCTTCTCACAAGTACTAAGATTACAGATGTGAGCCACCACACCTGGCTTACAAACTAGATTTTAAAAGTTAATTTTTTTAGTCGGGCAGTGATGGCACACACCTTTAATCCCAGTGCTCAGGAGGCTGAGCCAGGCAGATCTCTGTGAGTTGGAGGCCAGCCTGGGCTACGGACTGAGTTCCAGGAAAGGCACCAAAGCTACACAGAGAAACCCTGTCTTGAAAAAAAAAAAATCCAGAGAATCATCAGGTCATACTTCAAAAACCTGTACTCCTCAAAATTGGAAAATCTGAAAGAAATGGACAATTTTCTGGATAGATACCACATACCAAAGTTAAAACAAGACCAGATAAAATATTTAAATAGACCAATAACTCCTAAGGAAATAGAAAATCATTAAAAGTCTCCCAACCAAAAAAAGCCCAGGACCAGATGGTTTCAGCTCAGAATTCTACCAGATTTTCAAAGAGCTAATTCCAATACTCTTCAAATTGTTCCACACAATAGAAACAGAAGGAACATTACCAAACTCCTTTTATGAGGCTACAGTTACTCTGATTCCCAAGCCACACAAAGCAACTAAGAAAGAGAATTACAGACTAATCTCCCTCATGAACATTGATGCAAAAATACTCAACAAAATATTGGCAAACTGAATCTAAGAACACATCAAAACAATTATCCACCATGATCCAGGGATGCAAGGATGGTTCAACATACAAAAATCTGTCAATGTAATACAACATATAAACTGAAAAACAAAAAAAAAAAAAACCAATAAAAAACCCCCACATGGTCATCTCATTAGATGCTGAAAAAGCTTTTGACAAAATCTAACACCCCCTCATGATAAAGGTCTTAGAGAAATCAGGAATACAAGGAACATACATAAATATAATAAAGGCAATTTACAGCAAGCCAACAGCCACCATCAAATTAAATGGAGAGAAACTCAATGCGATTTTACTAAAATCAGGAGTGAGGCAAGGCTGTCCACTCTCCTCATATTTATTCAATATAGTACTTGAAGTTCTAGCTAGAGCAATAAGACAACAAAAGAAGATCAAGGGGATACAAATTGGAAAGGAAGAAGTCAAACTTTCGCTATTTGCAGACAATATGATAGTAATCATAACTGACCCCAGAAATTCAACCAAGGAACTCCTACAGCTGATAAACTCCTTCAGTAAGGTGGCAGGATACAAGATCAACTCAAAAGTCAGTAGCCCTCCTATACACAAATGATAAAAGGGATGAGAAAAAAATCAGAGAAAAATCACCCTTTACAATAGCCACAAATAATATAAAATTCCTTGGGGTAACACTAACTAAACAAGTGAAGGACCTGTATGATAAGAACTTTAAGTCTCTAAAGAAAGAAACTGAAGAAGATAACAGAAAATGGAAAGATATCCCATGTTCATGGATAGGTAGGATCAACATAGTAAAAACAGCAATCTTACCAAAAGCAATCTACAGATTCAATGCAATCCCCATCAAAATCCCAACACAATTCTTCACAGACTTGGAAAGAACAATACTCAACTTCATATGGAAAAACAAAAAACCCAGGATAGCTAAAAGAATCCTGTATAATAAAGCAATCTCTGGAGGCATCACCATCCCTGACCTTAAGCTTTACTATAGAGCTATAGTAATAAAAACAGCTTGGTACTGGCATAAAAACCGACATACGGACCAATGGAATCAAATTGAAGACCCTGACATTAACCCACACACATAGGAACACCTGATTTTTGACAAACAAGCCAAAACTATACAATGGAAAAAAGAAAGTATCTTCAACAAATGGTGCTGGTATAACTGGATGTCAACATGTAAAAGATTAAAAATAGATCCATATCTGTCACCATGCACAAAACTCAAGTCCAAGTGGATCAAAGACCTCAACATAAATCAAGTTACATTGAACTTGATCGAAGAGAAAGTAGGAAGTACTCTTTTTTTTTTTGGTTTTTCGAGACAGGGTTTCTCTGTGTAGCTTTGCGCCTTTCCTGGAACTCACTTGGTAGCCCAGGCTGGCCTCGAACTCACAGCGATCCGCCTGGCTCTGCCTCCCGAGTGCTGGGATTAAAGGCGTGCGCCACCACCGCCCGGCCTGGAAGTACTCTTGAACGCATCGGCATAGGAGATCACTTCCTAAATATAACACCAGTAGCACAGACACTGAGAGCAACAACTAATAAATGGGACCTCTTGGGCTGGAGAGATGGCTCAGAGGTTAAGAGCACTGACTACTCTTCCAGAGGTCCTGAGCTGAATTCCCAGCAATCACATGGTGGCTCACAGCCATCTGTAATGAGATCTGGTGCCCTCTTCTGGTCATACATGCTGTATACATAATAAATAAATAAATAAGTAAGTAAATAAATAAATAAATAGGACCTCTTGAAACTGAGAAGCTTTTTTTTTTTTTTTTTGGTTTTTCGAGACAGGGTTTCTCTGTGTAGCTTTGCGCCTTTCCTGGATCTCGCGCCGTAGACCAGGCTGGCCTCGAACTCACAGAGATCCGCCTGCCTCTGCCTCCCGAGTGCTGGGATTAAAGGCATGCGCCACCACCGCCTGGCCTGAGAAGCTTTTGAAGGGCAAAAGACATGGTCAATAAGACAAAAAAACAGCCTACAGAATGGGAAAAGATCAACCCCACATCTGACAGAAGACTGATCTCTAAAGTATATAAAGAACTCAAGAAACTGACATCAAAATAGAGTAACTATTTTAATTTATATAATTAGTTGAAAGATATTAAGAAACAATTAAGGAATATTCAAGAAGGGTTATTTAGTCAGGTAGGGCTACAGTAAAATCCTGTCTTGAAAAACAAACAAACAAACAAGAAGTTATCCTAATTTAAAAATAAAGCTTACAGCATTTTACATTCTGATTTTTAAATTCTACATGCATTCTCCTACACTGGAACAATCTTTACCCTTAGTCCTGTTATCTGATTGAATTCATGAATAATTTCTATGCCTCCTCCTCTACTGCTAGATGATAGGTTATTTTTAGTTTCTTGTGATTATGAATAATGTTATGATGTACCTTGTCATGCATATAGCTTTTTCCATGATTTGGATCATTTCCTCAGATAGTCTTAGGGGGTTGCTGGGAATGGACTCCAGGGCTCTGTACACACTAAACATGTACCCCGGGGCTACCCTCCTAGTTCTCAGGAGATGTTGCCGCACTAGGAAGAATGAGTAAGGCAAAGGGTAGACATGACTCTGGGGTCTGGATACATTTTCTCTAGCTACTTTCCACACAGACTCCTCTAACACACTAATGCTACAGCTATCATGGGCCAGGCCTGAGGGAAGGAACAGTGGATGGAGCAGTGTCCACGACCTGAGAGCGTCTGTAGTGCAGTGAAATGGAACAACACTAAAGTTCACCGTGAAAGATAGAGCAAGAGAATAGATACAGGAGAGGAAGAGGGAGGAAGCCGCTACTTTAGACAGCTTAGATCCCCCTGACAAGAGGCCACGAGGTGAGTGTATGTTTGGTATGCCTGAAGATAAGCAAGAAAACCAGGATGGGAGACAGGACCGAAGTGGAGTCAGTTCAGACAGAGCCTCAGACATATTATTCAGACTGTGAACCTTAGTAGGGAAATGGAAAATCATAGAGAGTTGTGAACTTACTTTCTTTGGTGAGACCAGGCTGCCCTAGAACTCAGAGATCTACCTGCCTCTGTCTCCCAAGTGCTGGGTTTAAAGGTGTGCACTACCAAGCCCAGTTTTGTGATATATTTTTAAGAATGTTACTTGTAGAATACAGTTTCCAGGTACCGAATGTTCACCTTAGAGGGTGTGGTATAAGAGTTCAAAAGGGTCTCCTCTTCTTCCTCCGCTTCAATCCTGAAAACACTGGTCAAGGAGAGTAATTACATGCGATTAACTGAAAAACTGAATGCTAGGTATTTTTTAAAATTTGTTTTTAAGTTATATATACAACAGTAGAGAAATTACAAAATACATATATATGGCTTAGTGCAAAGACCTTCTGCATAAAAGGATACAGCTCTTGTATAGAAACAATGTCTCTGGCTCCTGCATGCCCACTGTCCTTGGAGGCACTGTGCCAGGCTTTGGATACTTTCTTGTTTAGAATCTGAGGAATGGAATAGAAGCAGAGGGTGATTACATTAATCCATAGTCTGATAATAGAGAGAACACTTCCCATCTGAGGTAATAACAGGCATTCAAAACACAAGCAAAGAAGAGTTCGGGATAGAGCTCAGGGGGCAGAACACTTGCCAGGCGCGCAAGAGGCCCTGGATTCAATTCCAGTATCGCCCCACCCCCAGAGTCAAAGATAAGAAACTACTCAGAAAAGTGTTAACTACCGTGTTAGTACACACCTTTAATTCCAACACTGGGAGGCAGAAGCAGGTGGATCTGTGAGCTCAAGGCCAGCCTGGTCTACATAGTGAGACACTGTCTCTAAAACAAACCAAACATGGCAGGCTGGGCATGGTGGATCATGCCTATCATCCTAGCATTTGGGAGACAGTAGGATTGGGATCAGTACACACACGCACACGCGCACACACATGACATATCACTCTTCCAGAAGATCTAAATTCGATTCCCAGCACCCACATCAGGCAGCTTAACACATCACAACCGCCTGTAACTCCAGGTCCAGGGGATCTGACACCTCTTGCCTCTGTAGGCACCTGCACCCATGCACACATACCTATACACATCCACATATTAGAATAATAACAAAAATAAATATTAAAAAGCTTTCCCAGTAACTATCTGCTGACAACACATGATTCTAATATAATTCTCTTTCACACCTGCCACTTTTAGGTGTGAAAGGCAATTTTAGGTGCTTCACATACAACGTCATTTAATTTTTACCAATCATTAAAAACACAGGTTATCAGAACTTGATAGAAGGGAAAAAACAAAAAACAAAAAACAAAAAAAACAAGGCTCAAAAACAGTAAGCAGGGGCCCAGTGACAGGGCTCAACAGGCAAAGGCACTTTCTGCTAAACCTAATGGCCTGGATTTGAACCCCAGAACTCACTGAGTAGAAGGAGAGAATCAACTTTCCTTTTTCTTTTCAAGACACAGTCTCACTATGTAGCTCTGGCTGTCCTGGAACTCCCTATGTGGACCAGGCTGGCCTCAAACAGTATTGGGATTAAAGGTGTACGCCACCACCATTTGGCAACAACCAATATTTCATAGCTGTCCCTAAGCTCTGTAGCACAGGTGTGCATACCCATGCATACACACCATAAATAAACGTACAGAAACGGAAAGACACTATGATAGAAAGAAGCAAAGAGGGAAGAAAGCAGGCAGAAGACCAAGCTCACACTGGAGCTGGAGTCCAGGTCAGACTCCAGAGCCCGCGTCCTTTCATATACTGCACACCCCCACACAGCAGGACGACATTAGTGAATTCGCATTTGCTCTCACCTCGTGTTCAAAGGAGTTCAGGATCTCTGCAGTAAGGCACATTTTCCCTGTGCTGGTGCAGAAGGCGATAAGCTCACTCACCATTCCCTCCTCCGTCTGTCTGTACAGAACACACAGCTCTGCCACTGTAGGGAGAGAAATCAGGCAAGGAAGAACCTAGTTCATTTCTTTTCTTTTTTAAAGATTTACTTACTTATGATGTATACAATGTTCTGCCTGCATGCCGAAAGAGGGCACCAATCTCATTATAGATGGTTGTGCGTCACCATGTGGTTGCTGGGAATTGAACTCAGGACCTCTGGAAGAGCACTCTTAACCGCTGAGCCATCTCTCCAGCCCCCCCCCACCCAGTTCACTTCTTTTGCTTTCATACTGAGGTGAAGCAATCCCTGTTATCCAGTCACTGCTTATTCACAGGCCCTGGGAACGAAACAGGTTTTTGTTCTTGATCACAGGAAGCTTGCTACTGGGGTGAAGCCAGAACAAGAAAGTATATAGAGCCGGGCGGTGGTGGCGCATGCCTTTAATCCCAGTACTCAGGAAGCAGAGGCAGGCGGATCTCTGTGAGTTCCAGGCCAGCCTGGTCTACAGAGTGAGATCCAGGAAAGGTGCAAAGCTACACAGAGAAACCCTGTCTCGGGAAAAAAAAAAAACAAAAAAACAAAAAAAGAAAGTACATAGTACCTTAGATGCTCAAAGGTGCGATGTAGAAAAATGAAGTTGGGGGAAGGGATCATGGAGCTGAGGAGTCTGGCAATTTAAATACAACCAGGGACCAGGGAGAGGCCTCTGCAGGTAAAGAGCTTGTCACACAAGCATGAAGACAGGAATGCAGTGGGCATGGTGGCATGTCTGTAAACCCCAGTGTATGGAAGGCAGAGACAGGGAATGCTTGGAGCAAGCTAACTAGATTGAGGGTGGTGAAGGAGGACTGAGTGAGTCACCACAGGAGTGGATGTACCTAGCAGGAAGTGGTTCTGAGCTGAGTCCTGTCCATTCACATCAAGATGAAAAGGAACCTTGAAAGGCTGAGAAGGGGAGGTGAGGAAATCCAAAGGAAACCCCAGGGCAGGGGGCAGTGAAGCTACAAAAACGTGCTCCTGATGGCATGTGAACGAGCTGGTAGTAACTCTAGTCCCAGAGGCTGACTCCCTCTTCTGGCTTCTGAAGGCTCTGCATGCATGTGGTGCATTTGTATACACACAGACGAACACTCAATCACATAAAAATAAATAATCCCAGTGCTCAGGAGGCAGAGGCAGGGGGATCGCTGCTAGTTTGAGGCTAGCCTGGGTTACAAAAAGAGGCCCTGTCTCAACACATTTTTAAAAAGAAAAAGATTCATTTTAAGTCTTCACAAGGACTTGGAGTATTTCAGTCTTCATGAAAGAAATGCATTATGAATTAGTGTGTTTACATTCTGCTTCTATTTTTTTTAACCTTTAAAAGTAAAGCAGAGGGGCTGGAGAGATGGCTCAGGGGTTAAGAGCACTGGCTGGTCTTCCAGAGGACCTGGGTTCAATTCCCAGCACCCACATGGCAGTTCACAACTGTCTGTAACACTAGTTCCAGGGGATCTGACACTTTCACACCAATGTATGTAAAATAAAGTTAAATAAATTTAAAAAAAAAAAAAAAGATGGCTACCTGCTAATAAGACCTTTCTTCAACGATTTGGTCATTTAAAAAAAAAAAAAGCAGAGCCGACAGGATCTCATTGTTTAGCCCTAGCGGGCCTTGAATTTTCTGTGATCCTCCTGGCCTCGGTCTCCCAAGTGCTGGGATAACAGGCAGGCCCACTCACACTCTGGCTTTATATCCTAAACTTAGAAGTTCAAAGTGTTGATGAGTGGTTAAGGCAAGTGTACACACAGCGCTATTCTGAAACTGATTCTCACAAGAGAGATGTGTGATTTAAGTCTTCACCATTGGACTCTATGGACCAATATGATGAGGCACTGGACTCCAGAGCAAGACACAGGGGTTGACACACAGCTTAGACAATTAATTCTCCTTCCTTGTGTTCCTCCGTCTATAAAGGGAGAGAGCCAAAAAGCTCCCTGAAGTTTCTTCCAAAGCTAAAGTAAAGTATTAGGAATCCACCTCGAGGAATTCCTATTTGCACAGACCACTAAAATTATAATGAGCCAGGCATGGTGGTGCACACCTTTAATTCCCCCAGCACTCGGGAAGCAGAGGCAGGCGATCCCTGTGAGTTCGAGGCCAGCCCAGGGGTCTACCTAGTGAGTTCTAGGAGACCCAGGGCTACAAAGCAAGACCTTGCCTTTAAAAAACAACTCTGATGAGAAAAGTCATAGAGCAACAGACGATTAGGTGTGAGCTGCACAGGGTTCCAATGTCTCCTTTTGACAGTGTCTCCTGTTGTATACTCAGGACCCAAGCGGTACCCCACGAGCACATGGAACTTGGAAGGGACCCCCTCGGTTCGGGACTCACGTTTCCCTATCAGGGCGTCCTCGCAGTCCAGGCCGAAGATCTGTAGCTCCTCCGCCAGCTGCTGGGTGGACACAGCCATAGTGACCCGGGAGGGGCCGGGCTCCGACCTCAGCTCCAGTCTGCTCAGCAGAGGCTTCTCCTTTCGCTTTAGGGGGGGAAGATGAGAGGGACGCGCCACGAGAGACAACTGGACCAAGCCCTCAGAAGAGCTCAACCACCCGGTCACAGAGAAATACGTCAACAAAAGAGAAAACTCCTTCCGGAGAGAAAACTTGCTTCCGAATTACTGCTTAGCTTGTGGGTGAGAAGCACAGCCGGGAAAAACCCGCCAAATGCTTTAGCCCGGCGCGCGCTTGCGCGAGGACCGGGTCAGCCCCGCCCTCCCGGCGCACGCGCGGAAACGTCCCATTGCGGCTGCGCAGAACGCGCCGGATGCGCTTCAATCAGCGTGGAGATTAGAGTTCCGAGCTCGCGCTGTGGCTGTGTTTCAGGGGGTCTCTCCTGCTCTGCGAAGCTCCGCAATGCTTGTTTGTCCCTTTTTACCTGGACAGGAGGCGCTGTTCGTCCATATCTTGGAGTGGCTGAAACTTGCTGTCCCCGGCACGCCGGGCAAGGGCGCACTCCACTTCAGTAGACTATGCTGGCCTTGAACTCACAGAATCTGCCTGCGTCTGCCTCCTGGGTGCTGGTGATATGGAACAAAAGAAAAAGCAGGCCGGGTGGTGGTGGCGCACGCCTTTAATCCCAGCACTCGGGAGGCAGAGCCAGGCGGATCTCTGTGAGTTCGAGGCCAGCCTGGGCTACCAAGTGAGTCCCAGGAAAGGTGCAAAGCTACACACAGAAACCCTGTCTCGAAAAACCAAAAAAAAAGAAAAAGCAAAATGAAGGGATTGTTCTATTGCCACTTATCTCATAATCTTTTGGTTTTATTTTGACTCTTTAAAACTTTTCCTTTTTTTTTCTGGTTTTTTTTTTTTGTTTGTTTGTTTTTTTTTGTTTTTTGAGACAGGGTTTCTCTGTGTTGTTTTGACGACTGTCCTGGATCTTGCTCTGTAGACCAGGCTGGCCTCGAACTCACAGAGATCTGCCTGGCTCTGCCTCCTGAGTGCTGGGATTAAAGGTGTGTGCCACCACTGCCTTGCTAAAACTTTTCTCTTCTTTCTTTCTTTCTTTCTTTCTTTCTTTCTTTCTTTCTTCCTTTCTTTTCTTTCTTCCTTTCTTTCTTTTTTTAAAGATTTATTTATTATGTATACAGTGTTCTGCCTGCATGTATGTCTGCAGGTCAGAAGAGGGCACCAGATCTCATTATAGATGGTTGTGAGCCACCATGTGGTTGCTGGGAATTGAACTCAGGACCTCTGGAAGAGCAGTCAGTGCTCTTAACCTCTGAGCCATTTCTCCAGCTCAAACTTTTCTTAAGGTATAAATATTATCTCAAAATTTATAAAAATTTTTTTTGTTTGTTTTTCGAGACAGGGTTTCTCTGTGTAGCTTTGCGCCTTTCCTGGATCTCACTCTGTAGACCAGGCTGGCCTCGAACTCAGAAAGATCCGCCTGGCTCTGCCTCCCGAGTGCTGGGATTAAAGGCATGCGCCACCACCACCCGGCTATAAAATTAATATATATCTATTTAAACTTTTTGTCATGATATTAATGGTCATGTAGAGTACTAACTAATTCTAGAAAAAGGCTTCATCTAGCTTTCTGTACACGAGTTTGTGTTTGAGCCTCTATCAGGTAACCAGGAATTAAGTTTTTGTACTCTGGATATGCATAACAAATTATGGTCCTTTAACCTCTTTGAGATCTGCTGCATATGACATTTAAAATGTTTCAGTTTTCTGCAGTGAACCATGGTCATGCCTAACAGCAATCTTTGAAGTCTCCAGAAGGAGGATGGGGCCCCACAAGGACAATCCCACCAGGACTACGGTAATGCCACTAAGCTGACAAACACCACTCAGAGATCGGCTTTGGGCTACAAACAGCTAAAGACAATTTCAGGGTGGCCGGCTGAGATGGTCCAGCCTCACAGACTACTCTGGCCAGGACTTGAGACAAGCCCTGAACTTTCCCATTACAGAGACTGGACAACAAATGATACAGCTAGCTCTCCCAGGACTTGAATATTATCCAAACATTTTTTCAGGGTCCCCTAAAGATGCCATTGCCTCCAGATGGCAGGAAGTAATTTTAAGAACACAACACCCACATTCCCAAGAGGTGGGTGGTTTTTGGTTGTTCAGTGGGTTATGGATGTTTGTCATCATTTAGAGGGGTTGATAAATTGTCATTGGTAATGGTCAGGACAAAAGCTGAACAAAGGAGATTAGACTCAGGGATCTTGTTCTGAAAAGAAAAAGGGGGATATAGAAATGATAGTTTATTGAATCTACTTTTAAACCAAAAAAGCAACTACTAGTGTTAAATATTTTACATTGATATGGATTTTTGTATATTGATACAAATTTGAGGTTATTTTTGTAATACTGTATATATGTTTCTACTTTTGTTTAAGATATTTTTGTATGTTGATTCAAATTTAAGTTTATTTCTTAGAACTTACTATATTTATGTTATAATGTTTGGAGTCAGAGGGTGGAGCTAGCCACTAGTTAGCCATAGAGGTCTGGAGGTCTGTATAGAGAGGAGAAGAGTGGAGTTATCAGCTGGACACAGAGGGAACAGGAGATGAACATGCCATGCTAATAAAAGTACCATCATGTTACCCACATAGAGGGTGAATAAGGAATATGGGATAACTTAAAATGTAAGTGCTGCTGGGTGGTGGTGGCACATGCCTTTAATCCCAGCACTCGGGAGGCAGAGCCAGGTGGATCTCTGTGAGTTCGAGGCCAACCTGGGCTACACAGTGAGATCCAGGAAAGACGCAAAGCTACACAGAGAAACCCTGTCTCGAAAAACAAAACAACAACAACAAAAAAAAGTAATTAGTAATAAGTTAATTAGTAATAAGCCTGAGCTATTGTCCAAGCATTTACAATTAATATAAGCCTCTGTGTGATTATTTGGGACTGGGAATGTCAGTTTACATGTTGGAATTAAAGGCCTATGCCACCACTGCCAGGCAAAAGTAGTGTTTCTTAAGGCAACCCCCAATGGCAGAAACCAAAACAAAACAAGGAAGGAAGGGAAGGAGGAAAGAAGGAAGGAAGGCAAGTCATAACTTTATGGCACTACCTCTGAGGTAGACCTGAGGTGAGAGGTAGGGAGGGGTTGGAACTCAGAGGGAGTGGTGCAGCAGCTGAGGTCACCAAGCATTCACTCAGCTAGATGCCTCTCCCAGTCATCTTTACTCCCTGGGGGAGCAGTCTACTGCTGGGCCACTTCCCAGCCCTACACACTCACTCCCTGTTGAGGCCATTGTGACCTCTCACAAATTGATAGATGACCTGTCAGCTCCAACCCCTTCTAGTGGGCTCCTCTCCAATTCTTCGTTTCAACTCGACCCAGGAGGCATCTGGGCATGGCTGTCGAGCTGTTCCTCCCTGTACCTACTGGAATGTTCCTGGCTGCGGGAGCTAATTCCAGCTCCTCTTTTCTTGTCTTATCTCTGCAACATTTTCCCAGTGTCATCGCGCCTGGCCTCCAGGGCCTCTTCTTCCTCACCTTCATCCCCACTGGGATTGCATACTACTCATATTTGGACTGGTATATTCCCACCAGAACACTCCCTGTTCTGTCCTGACGCCTGGCTCCTGCCAGACTCTCAGCAGATGCATATCGATCGACTGAGGAAGCTGAGGGCCAGGGGAACTGCCTTAGGGTCCCCCAGCTGGTGGAGAGTCTCCCCAGGCTGGACACAGATTTGCACCCCCTGCATTCATATTGGGTTTGAGTCCTCTCTCATCCTGGGCAGGTCATCTGACCAACGCACTTCAGTTCATCAGGTGAGTCTGAAATGGAGGGTAAGGGCTGCTGGCAGACCTCAGAGTGCCCCTAAAAGTGAGACGAACCGACCAGTCAAAGATAAAGCTACACGAACCTCTCCATCAAAACAAAATAAAACCCCAGTTCTGCTGTGAGTGTAACAAAAGAACAATAACATGAGCATGTCAAACAACTCAAAAAATGTATAGGGGCTGGAGGGATGGCTCAGAGGTTAAGAGCAATGACTGCTCTTCCAGAGGTCCTGAGTTCAGTTCCCAGCAACCACATGGTGGCTCACAACCATCTGTAATAAGATCTGGTGCCCTGTTCTGGCATGCAGGCATACATGCAGGCATACATGCAGGCAGAACATTGTATACATAATAAATAAATACATAAATCTTAAAAAAATGTTTATCCTGAGCCAGGCATGGTGGTTCACATCTGTAAGGAGCATAACTTAAAAACCATTTTGTGCAACTCAAAAGCCATTGTATGCCAGGCAGTGGTGGCTCACGCCTTTAATCCCAGCACTCAGGAGGCAGAGGCAGGCGGATTTCTGAGTTCAGGCCAGCCTGGTCTACAGAGCGAATTCCCAGATAGCCAGAGCTGTTATGAAGCAGATCTGGTCAACGTGGAGCCAGCAGGCTTGGAAAAGTCCCTGGACCCGAGTGTGCCACAAGGGTCCTACGAGTTCCGGGCCATGGAACCGGGGAGGGAATCATGTTTGTTGGTCTAGCTTGCTGACCCCTGCAGGTTTGTCATGCAGTCATGGGTCAGATTTCTTGAGATTGCTCAGGGCAGGACAGTCTCTTGAAGTCATATCCTCCATGTCTGGATGACTGCCATATTTTCAGAGATACAAAATCTTTAGAAATATAATAAAAATTTAAAATATAGCCAGGTGAAGTGGCACATACCTTTAATCCCAGCATTTGGGAAGCAGAGGCATGGCAGATCTCTGTGAATCCAAGGTCAGCCTGATCTACATAGCAAATTTCAGGTAAAGTTTATGGGAGTATGTCCAAAGTCTGGACTGTATGCAGACCCGGGGTCAGAGAGAAGCTGTGAATGGCAGGGACATTCCCTGCGCCTTTTATGACTTTTGGGAAACTGGACCAGATCCCACTTCTGCAAAGTGTTATTGCCTTGAATGCAAACAACAGTCGAATGTCCATGCATTCCTGACTCTGCCTCACTGCTCATCAGCTGTTCCACCAACTGCAAGGCCCACTGTAGGCATGCAGACACACACACACACACACACACACACACACACACACACACACACACACCCCAACCCCTGTGGAGACACTGCCCATCCCTCCACCACACCGCCAGGAAAAATTAGCTTTTCTTCCATAATGTCATGCTTTCTAAAGGAGTGAGTTCTGGAATTTTTTGGGGGGCGTCAAGAAAACTGACCAGGGAAACCATAGAGTGCTGATGTCACTGTGACCCTGCAAAGACCCAGCATCACTGGTGGACCTGGAAAGTGGTGCTTTTATTGCAGCAGACAGCGTGCTTTCCTTTGGTCCCTGCAGGTTGCTTCTGCTTTCCGCTTGGGCTTGGGTATGGCTCTGCAGGAAAGTCCGTGAAGTCCTCCGGCTCTGTGTGGAGTTCTGCACTAGGATCCCCTGGAGGACTTGGACACTCTCTCTCACTCCCTGCACAGGCTCTTGGGAGCTCAAATGGTTTCTTTGAGGGCAGAAGCCCCCGACTGCTGAAGAGAAATTTCTTCACTCTTATGTTCTGCGTCTCTTTTGGATTGTCCGTCTTTGACTCTGCTCAAAGGCAAAGAGAAACTTCTGTCATCTTCCTGTTTTAGTCCTTTCCTGACTTGCCCACTCTTAACAGGTTTCATTTTTGGAAAAATCTCAATGTTCAAACCATTTTTTCAATTTTTGTTTTGCTTGTTTGAAACAGGGTCTCATTAAGTATCTGTGGTTGACTTGGAATTCACTATGTAGACCAGGCCGGCCTTGAACTCACAGAGGTCCATCTGTCTCTGCCTCCTGAATGCTGGAATGAATGGTGTGTGTTTTCACACCTGGTTTGTGTGATCCTGGGGTTTCCTGTGTTCTAGGCAAGCACTCTACCACCGTGTTGCCTCCTGAGCCCCTCCAACCTCCCTTCCTATGTCTCTTGGTCTACCTCTATCCTTTCTCTGTTTTTTCATTGTTGGACCTGTTCTGGTTGAGAGGAAGCCATAGGAGAGGGAGGCAGAAGTGGGTTTTTATGCACAGCCATGGACGATCCCTCTGACTTCCAGATATCTCTGGTTAGCTGTAACCATTTGGCCGCACGATCCACAGTGCCAAAGGACACTCACCTTCTCTCCATCGCAGCAATGGTTTCCACCAGGGGCACATTTCGGGTCTCAGTCAAGAAGCAGGTGACAGCCATTCCAGCCAAGACTGAAGTGACACCAAAGGACACAGGCGGAAGGATGGGGCTGATCTCACCAAGCGTGGTGACCAGGGGTGCCGCCAAGCCTCCGAGGCGGGCGTTGACAGAGGCAAAGCCCATTCCCATCTGCCTGTGGGAAGTGCAGATCTATCAGAGCTGGATCCGGACCCTCAAAGAGTCAGACCCCGTGGGTGCCAGAGAGGGGAGTGGAGCTCTGCCTGGGCGCCCCTCCTCATACCCACCTGATCTCTGTGGGATAGAGTTCTCCTGTGAACAGGTACACGCAGATGAAGGAGCTGGCCAGGCAGCCTTTGCCCAGGGCTGCCTGCACTGTCCGCAGGGTCTGCAGACCTAAAGAGGCAAAGAGGGAGGTGGAGCTGTGGGGAGCAGAGACTGGAGGAAGGCTGTGATGGAAGGCTGGGGGACCTTGGGATTGGGAGGACCAGAGGGTAAAGCTTGGGACAAAGGCGGAGGTATAAGAGAAAACCACGAGCACGTGCCTTTAATGCCAGTCCCTGAGGCAGAGGCGGGCAGATCTCTGTTTGAGGTCAGCCTGGTCTACGAAGAGGTTCTAGGCCAGCCAGGACCACATAGTAAGACCCTGTCTCAGAGAAAGAGACAGAGACAGAGGCAGGAAGAGGGAGGGGGGGAGAGAGAGAGAGAGACAGAGAGAGAGAGAGAGAGAGAGAGAGAGAGAGAGACAGAGAGAGAGAGAGAGAGAGAGAGAGAGAGAGAGAGAGAGAGAGAGAGAGAGAGGTCCAGGAAATTCACAGAACCAGAGAAGGGCGAAACCACCACTTCACTCCTGTGTGGGATTCAGAAGTCCCAATTTGCCCCCATCTGACGTCTACTTCCTCACTTATTCGTCTGTCACCGTGGTCTGCTGTGGAGACAAGGTTTGGAGTCAGGCTTTGGTTCAAACCTTAGCTCGGACCCAGGTAGGTGACTTAGCCACAGTGACCTCCCATCTCCGAGCCTCTCTGTCCTGCAGTAAGGGGAACACCAGGACACTTGGCACAGTTGTTCAAAGGTGTTACAAGGTGGGCATATGTCACTGGTGCAGAGCGTTTGGTGCTCACTGAGCATTTTCTACTGTGTCGTTACCATGCTTGTTCTGCTGCTTTTACAAATTGCAAACCCTGACTCAAATATCCCACATTAGATGTTCAAAGAAATTGTGGTAGATTGGTGTTAGCTGGAGTGCACCCTGAGATCGTGTGGGGAGAGTCCTTGAATCATCCACACCCAAACCAGCTCTGCATCAATTATACCAATTCCTCTTTGGCATGGTGGCTTAAGTTTCCTTTTTATTCCTTTTGAGACAGGGTCGCACTTTGTAGTCCAGGCTGGCTTAGAACTGATGGTCCTCCTGCCTCTGCCTTCCAAAGGCTAGAATAATAGATGTGCCACTGGTCGAGCTCCAGGGGTGCTCCCATTGCTTCTGGAATTCACGTCTGTGTGGTTACCACAGGGCACCAAAGATACTCACCCTCAGGCACAAACATGTTGGCGATGACCATGAGCCCGGCTAAGATGAGGAAGGAGGCCACTGTGGCCCGTCGTCCCACGTAAATCATGGTGGTAGTGGCGACCAGCATGGCTGGGATGTCGATGATCCCAAATAGAGCCTGTACCAGGTAGATGCTGAGCCCGAACTTCTGCAGGTCCATGGCCAGGCCGTAGTAAGCCACGGAGTTAGAGAACCTGGGGAAGGCAGCAGAGTGGCCCACTATTCTGGGGCTTGGGGCAAGGGATACAGGATGTGTGGCCTGGGGATCCTCCTCTTGGGGAGTTCAAATCCTGTGACCTCTAGCAGCATCTTCTGGTCCCCTAAGCCTCTGACTTTGGAGGACTTTCTCACTACATCTCTTTCTCACCACCCACTCCCCTGAACTCAGGCTCTGAGCTCTGGGGCATGTTCGGTTTTCACTGTCAGGACAACTTCAGTGCTGGAATTAAAACTGTGCTAAAGAACAAAAATAGAAGAAGAGACCTAAGTTAAAGAACACAGGAACCATAGTTCATGCCAGTCTGTGCCTATAGTCCCAACACTTGGAAGGCTGAGGAAGGAAGCTCAAAAGACCAAGGCCAGCCTGGGCTACATAGTGAGACTGTCTCAGAAGCTTACGTTTATTTTTGTGTGCAACTGTGTACGTGTGCATATGTATTCCTGCGTGTGGGTGCACTCATGCATGTGCACACAAGCATGTGGAGGCCAGGTGTTGACAACAGGTATCTTCCTCAATCACTCTGCACGTTATCTTCACTTTATTAATTAATTTTTGTTATAGTCTGTGTACCTGTGCCCATGTGGAGGCCAGATGTTGACAACAGGTATCTTCCTCAATCACTCTGCATGTTATCTTCACTTTATTAATTAATTTTTGTTATAGTCCGTGCGCCTGTGCCCATGTGGAGGCTAGAGGACAGCTTTTGGGGAGTCGGTCCTCTCCTTCTACCTCGGGTTCCAGGGATGGAACTCAGGTTGTTGGGGGTTCGGGACAGTGCTTTTACCTGCTAAACCATCATTTAGTACTGCCACCTTATTTCCTGAGACAGGAGTCTGAACTTGATGGAGCCCTCTCCCCTCCCCAGTCTCTCTCTGACAGGGTCTGACATCAGAGCTCAAGGTGGTCTGGAACTCACTATATAGCCCAAGATGGCTTAAGCATCACAGCAGTCTTCCTGCCTGGGCCTCCCAAGTTTTGGGATTGTAGGCAAGAGCCAAGCACCTAGTTGTGTTCTGTTTCTGGATCAAGCATGAAAATCTGTCAAGCTGAGCTGTGTACACTTTTGTGTGTGCTTTCAATGCGAGGTAAGGGTGGCACACACCTGTAATGCTAGCACTGAAGAGGCCAGGACAGCAAAATCCAAAGTTCAATGCCAACCTGGGCTACAAAGTGAAACCCTGACTTAACTAACCAAAACACCAAGAAAGACACAAACGGTGACGGGATGGGCATAAATCTAATGCGGCCCTCCTTATTCCTGGCCTGGGTTTACACACACCCTTTCCAAGTTATTGTTGTGAAAGGATTTTGCATGTGTAATGAAGGTCTTATGTCAGTTGACTTGAAGATAGATGGAGGTGGGTGAGGGAAGCTGATCCAGTCACATGGGTCCTTTAAATCTGGCCAATAGGTCAAAGACAGGGTGCTAGAGGTTCAGAGCCTAGGAGACTTTTTTTTTTTTTCAGTTTTATGAGATAGGGTTTCCCAGGCTGGACTTGAACTTGTTATTTTTCAGAGGCTAACTTTGAACCCCTGATTCTTCTGTTTCCACTTTCCCACATGCTGAAGCTGCAGATGTGTGGTACTTCACCCAAACAATCTGATGGGACAGTCTCCAAATGGAGACTGTCGCCTGGCCAGGAATGATGTAGGAGGTCTCTGGGAACTGAGATTGGCCAGCGGAGGTCCACCCTACAGCTGCCGAGAGCAGAGGCCTGCCAAATGAATCTTCCCCAAAGGCTCTGCCAAGGCGCTGAGCCAGACAGATTCCTGCGACTCAGCCTTGTTCTAGCCATGCAGGGACCCCAGCTGCCTCAGCCAGGACTTCAGCCTGCAGGGTGGAGACGCTTCAGAGGTGTGGCTTGAAGGAAGTAAAACCTGATCACAGTGGCCTTTGACAAAGCCGAAGAACAAACAGGAAAAAGCCATCATGTTCATAGCCCTGAGGGCATGTTGTTGGCTCAGCTAACAGGGAAGATAAGGGAAAGCTTTGCTTTCAATGGTCTTCCCAGAGAGACTGGACCATGACCGACATGGAGCACCATCCAGGTGGGACTGGTATTGGCAATGTTCTGGAAAAAGTTGGTGTTTGAGAATTGGCTACCAAGAACAGAAGATGCCAAGGGACAGACTAGTCCAGGATTGGCAGGCTTCAGGTTACTATGGACTTGCAGATGGAAACATGTCTTGGTGCCCAGGGGCAGGAGGAAGGATTTTTTTATGCTAAGCTATGCCAAGATGGATCAGGGCCAATTGAGATGTACTTGGACGGTCTCTAAAAAACCATTTACATATCAAATGTCAGTTAAGAAGCAGGCCTTGGTTAGTGCTTGGCACTAAATGCGTGGCTGACTACCCAGTCAAGTTTGTTTACCCTACTAAATTTGGATGCATGCTGGAGGACAGGGAGGGTGGCCGCAAATATGGGTCACATTCAAGATGGCTGCAGTCATGTCAAGCTGGATCCCAGCAGCACAGGGAGAATGGACTAGATAAATGTTTTCCACGATTCCTTCCTGTCTGACATCCCTGAACCTGACAAAGCTCTCATATTCCTCCCTTCATTCACTCTTTATTCTGCGGCTTATCAAATATTTATTTCAAATCGACCATATTTGCCATGGCTTTACTTAATGATGAAAGGTATTTCAGATATGATTTTTAAAAAGTTACTTAAAAAAACAAGTAGCAGCCGGGCGGTGGTGGCGCACGCCTTTAATCCCAGCACTCGGGAAGCAGAGCCAGGCGGATCTCTGTGAGTTCGAGGCCAGCCTGGGCTACCAAGTGAGTTCCAGGAAAGGCGCAAAGCTACACAGAGAAACCCTGTCTCGAAAAACCAAAAAAAAAAAAAAAAAAAAAACAAAAAAAAAAAAAAACAAGTAGCAGAACAGAGTATTAACCCATTTTTATAGGAACATGTGTGTATGTGCGTGTGTGTGTGTGTGTGTGTGTGTGTGTGTGTGTGTGTGTGTGTGTGTGTTGTCCTTGGGGGTCAATCTCCAGGGAAGGGCAAGAGTGAGGGCACAGTCACTTTTTTTTTTTTTTTTTAAGATAAGGTCTTACTATATAGCCCTGGCTTGCCTGGCACTCCCTGTGTAGACCAGGCTAGCCTTTTTTAAAGATAGGGTCTTACTATGTGGCCCTGGCTTGCCTGGCACTCCCTGTGTAGACCAGGCTAGCCTTGAAATCGCAGCAACCCACCTGCCTCTCATTGCAGCATTGGGATCAAAGGCGTGCACCCCACACGCGCAGCTGAGAACATTGACTTACCTAATTCACTCTTCTGACCTTCACAACAGCACTATGGGAAGGGTGGTGGTCTAAAAGTCACGTGACTGATGGGGAGGCTGAGGAACCTGAGACTAACATGTTCAGGCTCAGACAGTAAATGGTGGTGCTGAGATCAAAACTCCAGCCACCCGTTCCTCAGTCTTTTTTTGTTTTTGTTTTTGTTTTTTTTGTACATTGAGTATGCATTGCTTTTGTAGTTTGTAAATTAGCCATGACAGGAAACAACAGGCTTGGAGACATTTGTGCAAGCTGACTAGTTCTCATCTCCCTTTTCATCTTCCCAGTCCTCCTGGGACCCCAGGAGTCCCCGCCTCTACCCTAGCTGAGCCTAGAGGGCCTCTCTCCACACTCCAGAAATAGTAAAATTGAACCCAGATGCGGCCTGGTTAGGCTCCAGGCCTTCAGGGAAGCCTTGAAATGGCCAAGATTTTTTGTATAAACCGAAATTGCACAAGCCAGGAGCTTCAAGGGGGTCAAGATGGTTGGAGAATCCTGCAGCAAGACCCAAGGCCCCACCTCTGCCTGAGCCGTGGATTACAGCCTCTAAACAAAAATGGGTCATTGCCAATTCTTTCTAGAAGGATCCAAAAGAGGTCTTTCAACCTCTGAGTATGGAGTTGGTGATTTGTGTCTTTCCAGCAGGAAAAAGAAGGGGAAGAAATGGCTGGATCCCAGAAGGCAGGCTCAGCTGGTGGTAGAGGTTGTTACAGCACACCTCAGTGAGGTATTGGGGTCACCAAGGCTCTCTTGCTGCTCAGAGCCAGATCATCAAAGCTCTCTCCACCTCCAGAGTGGGAGACACCCCTGCATTCCCAGAGCCCAGGGGACACACCCCCAAATCAGGTAACAGAATGTCAGGGGTCACAAATACTGAAAGCCCTTTGCATGTTTTGACTTTGAGACTCACAAGGACCACACTTCAACAGGAACATTTTGGGGAGGTTTTTTGTTTTTTTGTTTGTTTGTTTGTTTGTTTTGTTTTTTGACACAGGGTTTCTTTGTGCAACAGTCTTGACTGTCCTGGAACTCCCTTTGTAGACCAGGCTGGCCTTGAACTCACAGAAATCTACCTGCCTTTGCCTCCCAAGTGCTGAGATTAAAGGTGTGCATCACCACCGCCCAGCAAAAAAACCCATTTTTACATATGAATGTTTTGCTGGCATGTATGCATGTACACTACATGTGTGTCTGATTAGCAGATGCCATGGAATTGGATTTACAGATGGTTTTGAGTCACCATGTAGGTGCTGGCAATTGAACCAGGGTCCTCTGCAAGAGGAGCAAGTACTCTAAACTACTGGGCCATCTCTCCAGCCCTGGGGGTGAACTTTTTTTATTACGAGGGTGTGTGTGTGTGTGTGTGTGTGTGTATGTTCTTTGCTTATGTATGTCCATGCCAATGTGCACAAATATAGCGACCAGGGGACATTGGGTGTCCTCCTCTATCTTTTGATGCCTTGTTCCCTTAAACCTGAACCTGAAGTTCAGTTTGGCTAGGCTGACCGCTCAGCAAGTTCTCAGGATCTGCTTGTATTCAGTGTTCCAGGCACCCGAGGCCATGCTCAGCTTTTCACACAGGTACTGGGGCTTTGAACTCAGGCCCTCATAGAGCAAGTGCTCTTAGTCACCGAGCCATCTCCCCAGCCCTGAGGCCCAGATGCTGAAAAGAGTGTGACATGAGATTGAATTCACACACTCACTAGCTCATTGTATTAAGACTGTTTCAGGACAAAGTTTGCCAATGACGGCAGAAAGTGTGTCCCCATCTCAGGACAGTCTTGGGTATGAGCCCATCACCTACCAGACGACCATGAGACAGCATGTGACCTTTCTGATGGCCGGGGTTCGGAAGAGGTCCAAGATGGAGTTGGAGGTACGGACACTTGCAAACTCACTCTGGATGTAGGAGCTCACCACCTGCGTGAGGAATGTCTGGTCAGGGGCACTGAGTCTTCTGGCACCCCATTTCCCTGCTGGGGGCACCTTATCCTCCTCTTCACTGAGAAACTGGTGGCCCTTAGAGACTGTATGATTTTGAGATGAGGAGGCTGCAATATGCACCCCGATAATCCTGAGGTTCTGTGGCGTTAGACATACACTCACTCAATTCCTGGTAACTTCATGGTAGTGTCGGACAGTGGTTAAAAGCAGCTGGCTGGAGTTAGCTGGTAGAGCACTGAGTTAGACGCGCAAGGCCTAGCTCCCGTCTCCAGGACAACCTACCAAGTGCTCACAGGCAAATTACCAGGCCTAGCCAAACCTCGGCGTCTGGTTCTTTCTCTTTGTTATGGTTTTTGTTGCATTTATTTATTTTGTGTGTGAGCACATAGGTGCTGCAGCGTGTGTGCGTGTGTGTGTGTGTCTGTGTGTGTGTGTGTGAGCACATAGGTGCTGCAGCGTGTGTGCGTGTGTGCGTGTGTGTGTGTGTGTGTGTGTGTGTGTGTGTGTGTGTGTGTGTGTGAGCACAGAGGTGCTGTAGCGTGGGTGGGGGTGTCAGAGGACAGTTTTTAGAGTCAGCTCTCTCCTTCCTGAGTGTGGGTCCTGAGGATTGAATTCAGATCATCAGACACAGCGGCAAGGACTTAACCCACTGAACCATCTCAGTCGCCAATCGGTTTCTCTTTGTCTTCTTTCTTCCTCTTTCTTTCTCTTCCTCACGTGTGTACAAGTGTGTTCATGAGTGTGTGCACTCACATGTGAGAGGAATGTGAAGACAATGTTGACTATCACTTCTTGTATGTGTTTTGGGTGTATATTTCTTTTCTTTTCCTTTTTTTCTACCTGAGACAGGGTTTCACTGTGTAACCCTGGCTGTCCTGGAACTCACTTTGTAGGCCAGGGTAGCTTCGAACTCAAGGATCTGCCTGCCTCTGCCTCCCAAGTGCTGGGACTAAGGGTGAGTATCACCATGCCCAGCTATGTGTGTATTTCTTAAAAATTTCTTTTTGAAGTTCAAAGTTGTCACTGAAGCTGCTAGGCTGGCTGGCAAGTGAGTCCCTGGGGTCCACCTCTCTCTATTCGTCAGTTTTGGGTATACCACCACACCTGGCTTTTTTTCTCCCTGATCATGCTGGAGATTCAACTGGGTTTCTCATGCTTGTACAACAAATACTTTATCCACTAAGCCACCTCCCCAGCCCCCATACTCAACACATCATACACTGCCTCCCTGAGCGTCTCTACCCTCTGCCCTGGGATGACAGGCAGGTAAGTCCTGGGCAGCTGACAAGTCCCAGTGTAACCAGAAGCTGTTACTACCACAAAAACCTACCCCAGCCTTCCACCCACATATCTGTTTACCTCTATAGTCAGTCTTTCCCCTTCTTCCTTCCTGCCATTTATCATGGCCACCTTCCGAAGGTTCTTCACAGCTTGCTGGGACTTGCCATGAAGGAGGAGCCATCGGGGTGACTCTGGAAGCCACCTGGGACACAGAAAGACCATTCCCACCCACAGTCCTAACACACCTCCATTGCCTTCTACCAGACCCTAAAGGCAGGTGGCATGGTCCCCCGTGTCACGGCCAGGACATGCCATCAATAGCCCTTTGTTTTGTTTTGGAGACAGGTTCACCCTAGATAGACCAAGCTGGCCTCAAACTCTGGTCCTTCAGGCTCTGCCTCCAAAGTGTTGGAAAAACAGGTGTGCACCCCCACATCCCATACAATACTCTCCCCCCCTCTCCTCTTTTTTTTTTTTTGGTCTTTTGAGACAGGGTTTCTCTGTGTAGTTTTGGAGCCTGTCCTGGATCTCGCTCTGTAGACCAGGCTGGCCTCGAACTCACAGAGATCCGCCTGGCTCTGCCTCCCGAGTGCTGGGATTAAAGGCGTGCGCCACTGCTGCCAGGCTCTATTTTTTTTTTTAATTCCACTATGTGGGTGGGTTCCAGAAATTAAACTCTGATTGTTAAACTTGAAGTCAAGTGCCTTTACCTGCTGAGCTATCTTGCCCAACTATTTTCCTGTTTTGTCTATCTATCTATCTATCTATCTATCTATCTATCTATCTATCTATCTATTTTGTTTTGTTTTGTTTTGTTTTGAGACAGGGTTTCTCTGTGTAGCTTTGGAGTCTTTCCTGGAACTCACTCTGTAGTCCAGACTGGCCTTGAACTCACAGAGATCCACCTGCCTCTGCCTCCCTAGTGCTGGGATTAAAAGCATGGGCCACCACCGCCCAGTTATTTATTTATTTAAGCATATTATACAGAGCATCACTGAAGAGTCCTTCAAAACTAAGTCACACTTGGTATTATTGACTCTGGTTCTTACTCTAGCTGTGTGGCCTTGAAAAAATCATAGTCCCTCTCTGGGCTGTACCTCAGTTCCCTTCTTACAAAACACCATGGGGTTGTTGTGAAATATAGTGAAATTTATATAGGTGAAATCATTTTGTGTGTTCCAGAGCTCCATGCCAAGGGAAGAGGTTTGCCAAAGATTCCCTAAAGCTATTCGTGAGTACCTGGGCCCCTGTGGTCCTCATGACACCTTCTGTTCTCTGTGTCCAGCACACAGCAGGCCCCACACTCTGACCTATGTGACGGGGTTCAGTCACATAGATGCACGCCCCCACCCAAGGCTGCTCTGCTGGACATACCAAGAGTAGAGGAAAAAGACCAGGAAAGGAGCAGAGACAGCAAACTGCAACCACCGCCAGGGGCGGATCAGGTAGGCCACGCCAGACAGGATGAGCTGGCCCAGGGTGAAGGAGAAGCCCAGCAAGATGCCCGCCACTGTCCGGCCCCTGGTCGGCATCCACTCGACAACTGTGGAAGACAGGCAGCCAGTTTGAGGGACTCATTCACCACATAGCTGTTTAGTTCATCTGTCCTTTCTCATGACTATGGCAACTTGAAGCCCGTGCCAAGATTTACCTAGACAATACTCTCATGTGGCCTACGGCAGGTCATTACAGGACATCGACTCTGCAATGGCTTCATTGTAAGGTCGAATGTCCTGAGACAGAGTGTGGGGGCTCTGTTGGCATATACCGTGTGTGTGTGTGTGTGTGTGTGTGTGTGTGTGTGTGTGTATTCAAGCGCACATGCCCATGAGCACACAAACATTTGTGTGGTATAGAGGCTGTTCTAATACAAGATGGACTGATGGACTTTAGGCACCTGCTCTAAGCCATGGCTGGACACCTGCCCTTCTAGAAGGTGAAGGGTGGGACTGGATTACTGAGGTCCCAATAAATGCTTATCACCTTCCAATATCCAAATGCTGGACAGAAAGAGACAGAGAAGGGATACTGATCTGTACACCTGGTTCTCCAGGCCCAAGACCTCCCTCCCACCCTGAAGTCAAAGGCCCAGCTGTCTTTGGATGACCGCAGGTGGTGGCAGTTTCTGAGCCTGATGAGGCCTTCAGAAGCAAACAGTGGCTTAGGAGCAGCACACAGGTGGCAGCTGTGTCCAGGGTGGGCTCTCTATTGCTTCACAATACCTTCCACCAGAGCCACCCGCAGGCTCCGGGTCATCACTTGTCACTGAAGGGTGACACTCCTATTTGTTTAGCACCCATGGAGCTAAGGAATGACCAGCCTTTGCAGCTTAGGCAGCCCACCTTCCCTGAAGTCACACAGTCGGCGCTCTGTAGTCTCTGGGGCCATTCCCTCTCTCTCTCTCTCTCTCTCTCTCTCTCTCTCTCTCTCTCTCTGGTTTTTTGAGACAAGGTTTCTCTGTGTGGCCTTGGCTATCCTGGAACTCCCTCTGTAGACCAGGTTGGCCTTGAACTCACAGAGATCTGCTCATCTCTGCCTTCCAAGTGCTGGGATTAAAGGCGCGTACCACCATTGCCCAGCTATTTCTTTATTTCTTTGTTATAGACATGGTCTCACCCTCTGTAGTGTTTGGTTAGCCTGGAACTCACTTTGTAGACCAAGCTGGCCTCAAATGTGTGATCCTCTTGCCTCCACCTCCTGAGAGCTGGGATTATATTCATGGCACCCTGCCCTAAAGTTTTGGAGTTTGGATTTCAGATTAGAATCATTTGATTGTATGAGCCCCCCCCCCCTTACTTATTTACAGACTCATGTAACTTAGGCAAGCCTCAAATGTGCTATGACTGAGGATGACCTTGAACTTCTGATCTTCCTGCTTCTACTTCCCAAGTGCTGGGATTACAAGTGTGAGCCACCATACCTGGCTCCCTTGGAGATCATCCTATCTCATGGCCCTGTGTCCCAGTCACCTATGTGACCCCACCTAAGCTTGGCACATTGTAGACAATCAGTGGCTATTGAGTAACTCTGACATGAAATCAATCTGACCCTTGCAGCTTACAGATTAGTAAACTGAAACTCAGATCCAAGAAAGGCCACCAGGGTCCACTGCCACTGCTACCACGGTCACAATCTGTCAACCCCGGTCTTCCAAATCCAGACCCCTGGGTAGGAAGTTTTGAGTTGAGGTTTCTGGGTGAGAATCACCACAAGACAAAATTTAAAAAGATGTCCTATGATGGCCGCAATTCCCCTTTCTCATGATCCCAGCCCCTCTGGGTCCCACTTGAACTGGACTCACCCAGGGAGAGGGAGTTGAGGATGATGCCGGAGAAGGTCATGCCCATCAAGAACCGGAAGACACAGTAGGCACTGAAGGAGCCAACATATGCTGTGGCAGCCCCCGAAACTGCCAGCTGCAGGTATGACCAGACCAGTGGGGCCTTGCGACCCAACCTGAACCCAAAGAGTAAGGGGTTAGGGAATCCAAGGTGGCCAGACAACCTCAGGGGAGCAGAGCCTGTGCCTGACCCTTCTGCCTTGGTGAAGACACCGAAGCAGTCAAGGGGAAGATGAGATGCCAGGAAAAGGCCCCCCCACTACGTACATAGCACACGCAACTGTCAGGACCCCAGGACTGGTGGCCAAGGCTGCCCAGGGATAGAGGGACATGTGTAGAAGAAAATCAGAGGCTGAGTGATTTAGTCCAGGTTGGGAAAAGGTAGAGATTTTGAAAAGACCCAGAGGCCCATGCCTGTAACCTCAGCATTGGGAAGTGGAGGCAGAAAGATCAGAAATTCAAAAAATTAAAAGAAAAACACTCACTGGGTGGTGGTAGTACAGGCCTTTAATTCCAGCACTTAGGAGGCAAAAGCAGGAGGATCTCTATGAGTTCAAGGCCAGCCTGGTCTACAGAGTGAGTTCCAGGGCTACACAGAGATACCCTGTCTTGAAAAAAAAAAAAAGAAAAACACTCACAGACACATACACAAACGCATTATGTTATGCACACACAGACACATACACAAACGCATTATGTTATGCACACACAGACACATACACACAAAAAGAAAAGGGAAGAAAGGAAGAAGGAAAGAAAAGGAACGTGGATAAACGATGCAAGGGTTTTCTCTGGGTGACTAGGATCTCCCCCAAAACACTCACCGGTCTGCTAGGCTGCCAAACAAGGCAGCGCCTACCAGCACCCCAGACATGTAGATGGACTGAGCCAGGTCACGGAGGGTACGGGCCTCACACACCAGGTCCCACTGTGAGGGAGGGAGGAATGCTAAGCCTTGTCCTTAGGCAGCAGCCTCCCCCCAGCCCCCCAAACCACCCACCCACCTCTGACCTCCATCACGATGGTGGATGGGAAAATGCTTCGGTCATAGACCCAACCATCCTTGCAGTCCTCGGTGGCCACTCCGTGGGAGGAGGTGTTAGATTTCAGAAGGGCCCACTGAGGCTCTGTGTAGCGCTGGCATGGCTCGGGGACTCCATGCTGGTTCAGGGGTATGGTGGCCCTCAGCCAGGCCCCTGAGTCATTGGTGGCAGCCTCTGTGTGGTTGGCAGGAGGCTGGCAGTAGTGGGGGGGTGCCGCCGCAGTGAAGTTCTGCAGGAAGGTGTGGCAGGCCAGCAGCCCGCAGGGCAGCAGCAGCAAAGTGGTATAGACAAACTGGAAGCGACCCACACCCCCCAGAGCATCCAGCAGGTCTGTGAAGGCCATGGCCAAGGGCCCTACCCAAGGTCCTGAGTGCCGGGTCTTATGTAAAAAGGCAGGGGAGGGGACTGAGAGGTGGAGATCAGGCCAGGGGTTAGGACCACACAGGCCCTCTACCTGCAGCTCAGAGGGATCCAGTTACACCTCACAGGAAGCCTAAGTGTCCCCACATCTGCACGTGCCTGGCCAATCACCACAACAAATTAAAGCCACTCTAGACAAGGCCAGAGGGCTGAGAGGAGTCCAGGATACCACCTGCCCCTCCTCCCTCCAGGACCTTCCTCACAAAGCAGTCTGCTGCTGGAGAGGAGGCCAGTACAGACTGGGCCTGGGGGCTCCCAGTGAGTAGGCGAACTGCAAGCTGCAAGTTCAGGACACTGTCTCTTTCATTATCAGAAATGTCTCTGGGGCCGGAGAGATGGCTCAGAGGTTAAGAGCACTGGCTGTCTTCCAGGGTTCCTGCGTTCAATTCCCTGCAACCACATGGTGGCTCACAACCATCTGTAATGAGAACTGATGCCCTCTTCTGGCCTGCAGGGACACATGCAGGCGGAACACTATGTACATAATAAATAAATTAAAAAAAAAAAAAAAATTGGCCGGGTGGTGGTGGCGCACGCCTTTAATCCCAGCACTCAGGAGGCAGAGGCAGGCGGATCTCTGTGAGTTCGAGGCCAGCCTGGTCTCCAAAGCGAATTCCAGGAAAGGCGCAAAGCTACGCAGAGAAACCCTGTCTCGAAAAACAAAAACAAAAACAAAAACAAAAAAACAAAACAAAAAAATCTCAGTTCCATTTCTACCTGGCAGCCTTGTGGGCAGTCCTCACCTTCTGGTCCCTCAATCTTTCTTTTCTTTTCTTTCTTTTTTTCTCTTCTCAAGATAGGGTCTCGTATAGCCTAGGCTGACCTGGAACTCCCTATGTAGTTGAGGATGACCTTTGAACTTCTAACCCCCTACTTCTATCTAGACAAGCCCTCTACCAACCAAACATACCCCACCTAGATCCCTCAGTCTCCACTGCCTGCACCTGTGTCCTGGAGGGTGACTCGTTTTCATCCTCCAGTCCCACAGAGGCAGAAGAGCTTGTAGAAGCTGTGGGTACTTGGTGTATGAAGTGTGGGCAGAGGAGGGTCTAAGGAGGCCTCTTTGAGTTCCAGTGTGGTCCAGGAGGGAGGTACATGCCTTTCCAAGCTTCCTGGTGGGTCAGATTTGTGCTAAGAAGAGGTTTTGTGTTTCCTTGCTGACATTGGCAAGGAGAGCATGCAAAACCAGAAAAGCCGCCAGGGCTGGACTGTCCATGGAGCCATCCAGTCTACATCTCTGTGCCCGGACCTCTCAACATCTCAGGGGCAGAGGTAGCCACAGCCAGTCGCCCAGTTTTCAGCAAAGGTGGGCATGAGGCTGTGACTGTCTCTAGGCCAAGGCTTGCCAGTACAATCAAGGTCTGGGAGAATAACACCCAGAGACAGAGTGCAGCCTTTTCTTTTATTTTTCCACTGCCCTGAAACCTGGGGCCTCCCTACCCCACCCCAGTGCCTGGTCCTCCATAACCAGTGCACTAGTCCCTCAAGCATTCCCTTGAAAATTATCAATATAAAAAAAAGGGAGGAGGGGGAGGAAGGGAGGACCTGAGCACCCTCCAGGCCAGGAAGTTCCTGGTGGGCACATGGGGCAGGAGAGGAGTGGTTTGGTTTGCAGAGAGGATCTTGGCTGTTGCACAGGAAGGCACAGGTGATCCTGGCTGTGGGGCTCCACTGTGGGGAGAGGCCTTCGGTACCCGGATGCAGACAGTGCGAGCTAGCTAGTGGTTATAAAGTCTGCAGGTCCAGGGGCCAGCAGGGGCTACAGCCTCTACAGATTAGGGAAGACACACATCCGGACACCAGCAGAGGTGGGGCAGGGGTGCCCGCTCCGGCCCCAGAGGAAGGAATAAGCAGGGAGCTGCCTTCCTGGTTTTAGCCATGAGCAGGGTCCAGGGTTGTCCATTCTGAGCCTTTGGCCACAGAAGCAGGGAGGGCCCCATGACTCTGCCCAGAGCAGGTGAGTAGAGGTGGTGGGGAAGAGAACGGACAGGCCAAGGGTGGCTTCCTGTTCCAAGGAAGGCACTTGCAGCTGATGTGGTCCTGGTGTGGCATGGCAGGAAGGCGTGGCTTGGCACAGGAAGAAAGGAAGAATCGGGCAGTGGGAGTTGAATCCCCACTTCAGGCAAACATAGTCAGCTGTAACCACTGCAGGGCAAGACGAACAGGTTATCGGGGCGGCAGATGGGCAGCAGATGGGCAGCATGGCACCTCAGCCTCCTTCTTCACCCATCCCAAGGCACAGGCTCCAGGCCCACGGCTCAGCCATCAAATCTCATCCCCTCTTTGGGGGACCCTCTGGTGATAGGGGTGCTTCCTTCTTTCCTTCCTTCCTTCCCTCCTTTCTTTCTTTTCTTTTTCTTTTTTTTTTCTTTTTTGTTGTTATTGTTGTTTTTTTTTTTTTTTTTTTTTTTTTTTGGTTTTTCGAGACAGGGTTTCTCTGTGTAGCTTTGCGCCTTTCCTGGAACTCGCTTTGGAGACCAGGCTGGCCTCGAACTCACAGAGATCCGCCTGGCTCTGCCTCCCGAGTGCTGGGATTAAAGGCGTGCGCCACCACCGCCCGGCCTATTGTTGTTTTTTTAAGACAGGGTTTCTCTGTGTAGCCCTGGCTATCCTGGAATTTATTCTGTAAACCAGGCTGGCCTTGAACTCAGAGCTCTACCTGCCTCTGCCTCCCCGGTGCAGGGATTATAGGTGTGCACCCCATGCCCGGCAGGGAGTGCCTTCTTACTTCTCTAGTCCAGAAGACCAGACTGCTGATTCCCACAGCGTCTAGGGGCCTGACCTCCCCCTGTTCATCCCTCCCCAGGCCCCAGAAGCCTCTGGCCCAAAGCTTCCAGGACTAGGGTCCAGCTTTGAGGGCTGTTTCCAAGGCCATGGACTCCTGCCCTGGAAGGGACAGGGGAACATGGAGGGTCATCTCACCTTAAATAAATCAAAGGTCACAACACCATCCAGGTCTGTGTCCAGAACTTTGAAAAACCCTGTGTTCAAGAAAAGATGAGTTATGTCTGGGACACCAGCCAGTTAATATCCAGCAAGACTGTCTCTCACCCCCATGCACCCCGAGTCACTGTCCCTTAAAACCATGAAGCTTCCTGCCCTAAGAGGCCTCCTTAGACCCTCCTCGGCCCACACTTCATACACCAAGTACCTATGTGTAAGTCCTCTGTCCCCACCTCAACCTCACCCTATTCACCCTCTGTCTCTCCCACTGGCTCATAAGGACACAGGATGGCACTGTGGGAAAGTAGTGTCAGTTAGGGACACTCACGGAACATTGTCTCTAGTCGCACGAGGCAACACACAAAGTTGTCGAAGTCCACGGCCAGGTCAGGCTCTGAGTAGCGGGTGATGATGAGTTCATGCAGCTTCTTGTTAAGCTTGAAGCCTGGGCAGAGGAAGAGCAAGTGAGGGCCGGAGCAGGTGCAGCCAGATAGGGCGTGGAGGAGCTGGTCTAGGCAGGGTACTTAGGGCCATCCTCTTCTGAAAGAAGGTCTGAAAAATCTCGTATGTAGAGCTGAGAGGGGCTGGCAAAGTGAGGGACAGGCCCAAGGTGGGCATCACACCCAGGTCCCCCCAGGGAATCAGGAGCTGGCTGCAGAGGACCTAGGCACCTGGTCACATTTGGGCAAAACACCCTGGCCTTATTTTCACACAGGCAAGTGTGGGAGAGTCCTGCACCTGTCTCACTGGAGCTTGGAGCTGGTCCCTGCCCACCCTCTCTCTGCCTGCCCTGGTCATGTGTCCTGAACGAAGTCACTCTCCCTCTGAGAATTACTTTCCTCTTCTTCACATCGGGGATAACAAAGAGCTCTATTCAATGACTCCATGGATAAAACACTTGCCAAGAAAACTCCAGGTCCAGAGTTTGGATCCCAGAACCCATATAAAACCCGGGGGGTGTGGTAGTCTGCCAGTAATCCCAGCACTCACTTGGGAGGCAGATGGGATTCCCCAGGAAAGTTGGATAGCTAAACTAACTTAATCTGTGAGATCCAGGTTCAGTGAGAGACCTTGTCTCAGTAAGAGCAATGGAGGAAGCCAGATGATGTCAACCTCCAGCTTCTATGTATATCCACACACATAGGAACATAAATATATACATGCATACCATACACACATACACATGTACAAATTAACTAAAAGGCCCTTGTTCTTGGTAAGCTACAAGGAGAGGAAAGGGAGGAACAGAGAGAGGACCTAGCTCAGTAACCATGGTCCTTATAGCATCACCACCAACATCCCCCAGGGACAAGGGCCAGCCGGGGGGCCACTGTCCTGGGGAGCTGTTAGGGCCTTGGGCCTCACCTGCAGCCTCGATGGCCATCCTCATCTCGTAAGCGCTCATGCTGCCAGACTTGTCCAGGTCAAACTTCCGGAAAATGGTCTGGGTAGAGAAGAAAGGGTGGGGACCAGGTGAGTCAGCAGCTCTTCATGACTGCCTCCTGTCCCCGGGGGAGCGAAGGAACGGCCTGGAAGCAGGTCATCTGCTGAGACGCGTGGGCTTGGGTGGGGAAGGGGGTGCACGCAGAAAGGACGTGCTGGAGGAAGGCCTATCTACACGACTAGCCCGGCCCTGCCACCAGGCCTGGCCGTGCCATGACTGAGGCCACAGAGGGACAGGAGAACCCAGCCAGGGACCACCTACAAGGTAATTTCGGATGCGGTTCCACAGGATGTTGAATTCCACCAGGCCCAGCTTCCCATTGCCATCACGCTTGACAGATGTTAAGAAGGAAACTGCACAGTTTAGAGCAGATGTGTAAGGGGGGGGGACTGGGGAGAAGGGAGACTGGCTGTGGAGGGGAGAGACAGAGCAGTCACCTACAGCCGTGGCCGGAGTTCTGTGTTAGATACAGTGAAGTGGGGTGGGGAGAGGTGTAGAAACAGTACCAGCCTGGGCCAATTGGGGACCAAGGTCTTTCTCCATTTTCCAGAAGACCCATGCCTCAGTTTCCCTTCCTGGCCAACTGGAAGATATCCAGGAAGGTGTTTGAGCACGAGGCCATATGGCATCCACACCCTCCCAGCTCTGTCCAAGCGTCTCAGCTGCTCCTAGGACAGTTAGACAGCCTCTTCCCCAACCTCAGACTCCACTAGAGACAAAAGCACATGGAAGGATACGTCCATGAGGTTCACCATGCTGCGGCAGGACTCCAGGCTGAAGCCATCGGTCCGCAGGTCCTTGTCTGAAACGACAGACAGTTCTAGGGTCTGAGAATGTCACTCAGTCGGTAGTGTGCTTGCCTGGCACACATGAAGCCCTGGGTTTGATCCCTATCACTGTATAAACCAAGCATGGTGGTGCATGCCTGTAAGCATGGCAGTTGGAAGGAGGAGCAAGGAGGATCAGGAGTTGGAGGCCAGCCTCAGATATACAGACCCTGTCTAAAAAAAGAAACGAAGAGAAAAGAAGAAGATGGCTGGAAAGATGACTCAGTAGTTAAGAGCATTGGCTGCTCTTGCAGAAGACCTGGGTTTGATTCCCAGCACCCACATGATGGCTCACCACCACTCATAACTCCAGACCAGGGCATGTGATTCATGCAATTCATGCATATGGTACATTTACATGTATGCAGGCAAAACATTTATACACATAAAATAAAAAAATATAATAAAAAATTAAAAATCCACAGCCTCCATATAAAAAGGTATGAGTAGGCATCCCCCTGCCCCTGCACACACACAGTCTGTAAACCCAGAGCCGTTGGAGGACAGGGGGAGGAAGACTGCTGGAGCATGCTGACTGCCAGCCTGGTCCTAGGTTGTAAGAGATCCTGTCTCAGGGCGGATGTGGAGAGGGATAGAGCAGGACACCTGATGTCTATATCTGCCGAGAGATGACAGAGATAGAGAAGGAACCAGTCCCAGTGCTCAACTCAGAGGTCTTGCAGAACCAGCCAGGCTGGGAGCCCTGAAGTGACCAGTGATAGGGAGGCTCCAGTCCTGGGTACCGAGCCCAGCAGAGCATGAGGTGGAATGCTGTTATCATGAGAAACAGCAGAGCATTTCAGAAGCCAGGTCCGAATCCAGCAGAAAGGAAGAAAGTACTGAACAGATACACAAGAAAGTAGATAGAAGAGGGGCCCGCAAGTGCTGGCTGTGGGCTGGGGAGGGTAAACAAAGCTTTGCCAGCAGGGTAGGGCCAGGGAGATCTTGGGCAGAGGGGGATGAGTAAACAGAGGTCAGGCACAGCAAACCACAGACAACTAGAGCAGGTTCATGCCCGCATGCAGCAGCGGAGGCCAGAAGGGAAGGGAAAGTCGGGAGAGCTGCTCTTGTCCCCACACATCAGGGCCTGGAATTTAGTCTTACTCTACTTTCCAAGACCTATGGCGTGCACGGCCTGGAGGCTGCGGCCTTGCCTCCATCGGCACTGAGCACCTGTGGCTGGCTCCGCTATGGGCTCCCTAAGGTCACAGAGCTCCAGAGAGTAGAGGGAGTAAAGCAGGGCTAGTGAGGAGTCTGGGATAGGAACGGTGGTGAGTGGGGCCAGAGAATGGAAGGCTCGCCTGCTGCCTGGACCAAGGTGTGGGGTTCAGTTCCACAAAGAACAAGAACATGGCGATTGGAATGAGTTGGGAATAGGACGGGGTGGGGACAGCCATTCGGGGACCCTCACGTTTGCTAATGATCCTGTTCAGGATGGTCTGCAACTCCTTGACGCTGATCTCCATGTCCTAGGGGAAGAGGAAGTATGGCATCTGCTGGGTTCCCCTACTTCACACAGGGCTTCCCCACCCCACCACCCCCTGCCGGGTCCTGACATACCTCCCCTGCCAGCTTGCTGAACAAGGTTTTGAAGGTGTCATCGATCTCCTCTTCGGAGAGTACTTTCTGCACCCAGAATGGAGAGAATAGGTCAGGATGCTATGGCCTGGCCCTTGCCTGTAGGAACAGCCACTGGAGGTGGGGTGGGACACTCACATTTACAAGTCACTCCATCTCTCTGAGCCCCACTTTTCTAGCCTGTAAAATGGGATCTGCACTCTTGTAGCTTAAATGATGGGCACAAGTCAGTTAGGTGTTGAAAAGTTTGGGTTAGGGTCCCTGCTGTGTGAACTTAGGCAAATTCATCAGCCTCTCTGAACTTGTGTTTCCCATTTAGAGGGTGGTATCACGAAGGACCTAGATGAAGTAGCTATGAGGAAGAAACAAGATACACAGACCTAGCATAGGAACTGCCTACCATCATGGCAGATCCTTCTCAAACTGTAAAGTGCTGGGCAACAGGGGACTAGAATTAAGGGCTCCTATCAGGAGGGAGTCTGCCCTGCCAGCTGGAGCCCATATCCTATCACATACCTGGGGGACGTGAGGGGACCACATACCTCATCGGGGAGGTTGGCCTGGATCTGGTCATCTAGCTCCCTGCAGAGAGGAGACCATCAGTCAGAGGGCCTGGGGAAGCCACAGTGGAGAGACAGGGTTGGTGGGAGGGCGTGGGAATCCACTACTCACTGGGTCCCAGCCTTCTTCTCTGAGAAGAAACGCAGGACAAAGTCGCCCTCCTTGTTGGGCTCGAAGGTGGAGGGCACTACCACATACTCCCCTGGCGGCAGGCGGATGCGATTGCTGACTTCTCGCAGGTTGATGAAGGTCTCCGAGCGTGCCCGAGAAGAGTTGGCCAGGAAGAAGTCACGCTTCAGGTGCACAGGCTGACCCACCATCTGACAGGAGAGAGAAGCAAGCAGGGGAGGCTGCAGAGCTCACTCAGTCTCCCCTCAGATACTCGTCCAGGCCCAGAGCCCAGACTGTGAGTCCTGGCTTGCTAAGTCACGGCACACAGCCTGTGAGACCCCGATAAGTTACTTACCCTCTGTAAAACCTGAGTGCCTGGGCTGGACTGCGGTTCAGTGGTACAGGGCACATTACCTCCCCACCACCCTTACGTTTATTTATTGCGGCTGGGGGAAGGGATGCCTGAATGCCAGCGTGTGAGTGGAGCTCAGAGGAAAACTTGTGGGGGTCTGTCCTCTCCTCTCACCATGTGGATTCTGGGGATCAAGTTCAGCTCATCAGGCTTGGGGACAAGTGCCTTTTACCTACTGAGACATTCCAGGCCCTGGTTTTGATCCCCAGGACTGCATTAAATCAGATATGTGCCTGCAATCCCAGCACTCAGGAGGTAGAGGCAGGAGGATCAGGAATTCAAGGTCACCCTCAGCTACACAGTGAGTTTAAGGCCGGCCCTTAAACTCATAAAAACCCTATCTCAAAAATAAACAAATAAGAAATTAAATGAGACAAAAGAAAATATGGGTGCCCAATCTGACTGCAGATAAGAGACTCTAAAACTATGACGCAGGGGTTGTCAAGAGGGCACAACAGGTCAGTATACTTGCTGCACAAGCCTGGGGGCCTGAGTCCCATCTCCGGAAGCTAGGGAAAGGCGGAAAGAGAGAGCCAACTCCGCAATGTGGTCCTCTTACCTCTACACTCATGATGTGGCACATGCCTCTCTCTCTCTCTCTCTCTCTCTCTCTCTCTCTCTCTCTCTCTCTCTCTCACACACACACACACACACACACACACACACAAATAATAAATAAAAATTTAAAAACTGTGATGCAGCGGGGGGCGTGTAGCCCAGTGGTTCGGCGCTTCCCTAGCATGTGTGAGGTCCTAGGATCAATATTCAGTACTGATAAATAAACCTAAGAGACCATGTAAGTTTTGCCCCTATTATCAGTCATTGGCGCTTTCCCTGTGTTGTGCCTTGCATGAAACCTGACCAGTGGCACTTTGCTGACCATCTTAATGGCCCCAGAGGAAATGTTATCTATTTTTCCCCCACTAAAATGTAGCCTAGGCTGGCCCTGACCTCTTTATCATCAAGGATGACCTTGAACTCTTGAACCTCCAGCCTTTATCTCCCAAGTGCTGGAATTACAGGCATGTGCCACGACACACTGCTGGGAAGTGCCATGTCTCAATATGAACCCCAAGGCCCAGGACTTCAGAAACTGTTCAAGAATATAGACCGCTCAGCCCAGTGACACATGCTCCCAACCCCCCAACCCCCAGGCCTGATTAGCACTTCCTCAGCGTGAACAGCAAGACACAGAGAACTTGGCCTGTGTGCATGCTGAGTGGGGAATGTGAGGATCAGGGTTCAAATCCAACCTTTGCTACCTGCTCTTGCCCTCAGGAGCTGTCCTACTTGAACAGGCACCGGAGGTGGGGAGCGTTTGGCACCGGGGGTGGTGAGCAGCATTTTGCAGGCTGTGACAAGGTGATATCTCCTGATGCCATATGTCAGGTAGGGCTGACTTCGGCCATGCTCCTCCCCTCCAGGCCCCATCAGGACGGTGAGTTCAGGGGATGATGAACCAGAAAGAGAGCCACACCTACCTCCCGTGGGACCTGCAAGAGAGGGACAGAGAGAATAATGCACATTTGCCCAGGCAGCTAGGATAAACATACTGGGTAGAGGTCCTGGGTTCTTAGGGAGGGAGCTCAGGGGACAGGAAATGGGCTGGTGATGATCCAGACCTGTCCTCCCAGTGGAAGGACAGGGCAGAAGTCTGTTCCTGTGACTGCCTGGGCTTCTGTTCCTTAAAACAGCTGCCAGGTGGCCAATCTCAGTGTGAGAAAGCCCAGGAACATCAAGACTTCATTTCATCTGCTGCCAGGAGTTCTGGGTGGAGGCTAAGGCTATGGCCGCCCTCTACCCTGGCAAGGGAGAGCTGGAAATTTCCATCTCTATCTTGAGCTGCAGAATAAGAAGCAAGGGAAGGCTGGACAGTGGTTGTGCACGTCTTTAATTCCAGCACTTGGGAGGCAGAGGCAGGCAGATCTCAGTGAGTTCAAGGCCAGCCTAGTCTACAAAGCCAGTTCCAAGACAGTCAGAGCTACACAGAAAAACCCTGTGTCTAAAAAAAGGAGAAGCAGGAAAGATGGGCAGTGGTGGTGCATACCTTTTTTAAAAATTAATTTCCTTTATGTACATGAGTGTTCTATCTCATATATATATATATATATATATATATACATACATACATACATACATACATACATACATACATACATACATATGTCTGTGTACAGGTAGAGCACTCAAAAAGTGCATGCCTTTATGGGAAAAGAGGGCATCAGATCCCACTATAGATGGTTGTGAGCCACCTGTTGGAAACTGAACTCAGGTCCTCTGGAAGAGCAGCCAGTGCTCTTAACCACTGAACCATCTCCACAGTCCCCATGGCACATGCCTTTAATCCCAGCACTCGGGAGGCAGAGGCAGGCTGATCTCTGAGTTTGAGGCCAGCCTGGTTTACACAGTGAGTTCTAGGATAGTCATGGCTACACAGAAAAATCCTGCCCCCAAAACAAAAATAAAACAACAACAACAACAAAAGGAAGCAGAGGAGGCACCAAGCAGGGCCTAGAACAGCCTCTGTCTGCGTAGCAGACCCTCCCCACCTGCTCCATAGGCCTCTCTCTGCTCACACCCTTGCTCCACAGAATGCCTCACTTCGTTCTAAAGCTGAGCCCAGTCTGACCCCAGAAGCTGTGGCACACATAGCAATCAGCCCAGCTCCCTCTTCTCCAGAGCAGCATCCCACATTCTAGAAGGGTGAATTCCAGAGCCTTCCTTTCCTGGAACCAACCACCTCCTTTGCCCTCTCTGCAGCTTTGGGATTCAGCAGCTACATACAGGAGATCCTTCCAGCACCACAGCCTCTCCGGCCCTCAGGATGCACCAGGCATCCCCTAGTGGACGCTTGCTACAGTGGGAGGAGGTGAGCCCACCCCTCGGGCTAACCTCGTACACCGCGAAACCAATGGTCTCCATGTCCCGGCCAAAGCGACGCTCCCGGCGGCGGTTCTTCTGCATGAGGGCCAACAAGAAGCTGCAGCCCGACTCGCGACTCTCATAATCGTTTTCATCATCCACCTCCTCCAACCGGATCTTGAACTGGGGGTTCACCCAGAAGGTAGCTGCAGGAAGAGAGGAGGATCAGAGGCAGGCGGGGCAGGTGGCTTCCCAAGCCTCTCCCCCACATCCCATGTCTGCTCATTCACAAACTCGTTCACTACTGAGGTTCTATATGCCCCGAGTGTCAGAAGACAAGAAAGCAGATGGGCAGGACAGTGTCTCTGTCTTTCAGGGCTTGTCTTCCAGAAGCTGAAGTGGGTGAGTTATAAGTATTAGTACAAAGAAAAGTAAGCTGGAGGAGCTGCAAGATTTATTCTCTTTTTTTAAAATTTTTATTTATTTATTTTTCGGAGCTGAGGACCGAACCCAGGGCCTTGTGCTTGCTAGGCAAGCGCTCTACCACTGAGCTAAATCCCCAACCCCGCAAGATTTATTCTAACTCACTGAGCACAAGGCCCTAGGTGTTAAAAAGAGAAACAAGCTACCATCAGCCTGGGATAGAGATAGCAAGCTGAGCCTTAAAGGAGTAGCCAGTGCCTGGTTTTCTCAGTGCCTTTACAAGAAGCTTTGAGTCTGGTGCCTTAGACCAGTCAGCCATGCACGCTGGGCATGGTGGTACACACACACACACACACACACACACACACACACACACACACACACACGCAAATATGTATTTTGGTTGTTTTTAATTTTGTATGTATGTTTGTGTGGGTAGGTATGTTGTATGTATGTTTGTGCATGTGAGTGCAGTACCCACAGAGGGCAGAAGAGGGCAGAAGAGGGCATTAGATCCCCTGGAGTTGGAGGTACAGGCAGTTGTGAAGCACTGATGTAGATACTGGGAACTAAACTGGAATCTCCTAGAAGAGCAGTGTGCTTTCTTAACAAATGAGCCATCTCTTTAGCCCAACAACAACTCTTTAGAAAGACATTTTAAGTTGAGAATATGAGCTCAGATGACAGGTCTGAGAATGTGATAATCATCATTACAAATAATCCAAATTCATGTGATGATAACATTTAATTTACAGTAAGCAAAAACAATTTACATTTAAAGTATCATCTCATAAGAAGAAGGGCAAGCCAAGGAAGATGCTCTAAAACCGCTGCATTGTTTAGAAGGTCAACTAGCCACAGCATGCGTGGATTGGCCGGGGCTCAGTGGCAGAGCCCTTATATCACATATGTGAGGCCCTAGGATTGAGCCACAGCATTGTGAAAAACTAACAACTACAACAAATCAAAAAAGGAAAGCTAGGATTGGTGGCTTGTGCCTGTAATCCCAGTATTAGAGGTAGAGACTGGAAGATGTGAAGTCCAAGGCCATCCTCAGCTACACAACCAGCTCAAGGTTGCCCTGGGTTACCGAGACCCTGTATCTTAATGAAACAAAACAAAATGCATTAAGTATGTTCTTGAGACATTCAAATCCACATTGGGAAAAACTTATAGACAGGGGGTCGCTGTGAATTTTGGGCTAACCTGGACTACAGAGTAAGGCCCTGTCTAGCTAAGCAGTGGTGGCCCACACTTTTAATCCTAGCACTCAGCAGGCAGAGGCAGGCAGTTCTCTGTGAGTTCAAAGCCAGCCTGGTCTACAGAGCTAGTTCTAGGACAGCCAGGGTTACACAAAGAAACCCTGTCTCAAAAAACAAAAACAAATGAAAAAAAAAGAAAGAAAAGAAAAGAAATAAAAAGAAAGGAGGGAAGGAAGAGAGAGAAGACAAAGTAAATGAACTGAAATACATATTACTGTCTTAGGCTGGTGAGACAGGTCAGTGGTAAAGGTGGTTGCTGCCGAGCCTGATGGCCTGAGTGTGATCCCTAGGATTCACGTGGCGGAAGGAGAAAACTGACTCCCTCAAGGTTGTCCTCTGACCACGTGCTCACAGTGACACATCACTTCAAATAAAAATAAATATGACTTTTTTTTTAAGAAAGAAAAAATTCGAGGGCTGGAGAGATGGCTCAATGTTTAAGAGCACTCACTGTTCTTCCAAAGGACCTGGGTTCAATTCCCAGCACCCACATAGCAGTTCACGACTGTCTATAACTCCAGTTCCAGGGGATCTGACACCCTCTTATGGACATACATACAGGAAAAACACCAATGTACATTAAATAAATAAATAAATCTTTAAGAAAGAAAAAAATTGAAATTAGACTATTATAAAAATCACTGCAAGGCGGCGGCGGCGCACGCCTTTAATCCCAGCACTGGAAGGCAGAGCCAGGCAGATCTTTGTGAGTTTGAGGCCAGCCTGGGCTACCAAGTGAGTTCCAGGAAAAGCTACACAGAGAAACCCTGTCTCGAAAAACAAAAAAACAAAAACAAAAACGAAAAAAAAAAATCACCTATGGGGCTGGAGAGATGGCTCATTGATTAAGAGCACTGACTGCTCTTCCAGAGGACCCCGGTTCATTTCCCAACATCCATATGAAATTCACAACTGTCTGTAACTCCAGTTCTAGGAGATCTGTTGCCTGATTCTGGCCTCCTGGGCACTAGGCATGCATGTGGTACACACATATAAATGTAGGCAAAACACTCATACATATCAGATAGGTAGATAGATAGATAGATAGATAGATAGATAGATAGATAGATAGATTGATGGAAGAAGTGAAAATAAATACATAAACGAATGGGATGGGGACTGCTGGGGACATATCTCAGTGTAGAGCACTTCCTCTGTACCCATGAGGCCGAAGGTGCCATCCCTAGGACTGAAAACAAGAGAAGCTAATCTTCATTACAAGGAAAATGCAGGTCAACAGCTGAACATTCTACCAAACAAACCATCTCCCTTGTGCAAACTCTTCTGGAAAGCACGAAGGAAGAGGCTGATCTAATAGAACAGACAGTACCACAGCAGTGTGGTCAGTGTGAGCAGAGAACGAACAGGCAAAGCTCACTCATGAAAACTGCTGCATGAAAGTTCAAAGGGCAGCCGGGCGGTGGTGGCGCACGCCTTTAATCCCAGCACTCGGGAGGCAGAGCCAGGCGGATCTCTGTGAGTTCGAGGCCAGCCTGGGCTACCAAGTGAGTTCCAGGAAAGGCGCAAAGCTACACAGAGAAACCCTGTCTCGAAAAACCAAAAAAAAAAAAAGAAAAAAAAAAAAAAAGAAAGTTCAAAGGGCAGGAGAGATGGCTCAGCAGCTAGGAGCACTGGTTGCTCTTCCAGACGACCTGGTTTGATTCTCAGCATCTACATGGTGGCTCACAACTGTCTGTAACTCAAGTTCCAGGGGATCTGTTGCCTAGTTTTGGCCTCTGTGGGCACCAGACATACACGTAGGACACAGATATATATGCAGGCAAAACACCCATGCACATACACATACCAAATATGAAACTAAAACCTTTTATCAGGGTGGGGATGTAGCTTAGTTGGTAGAGCGTTTGCCTCCTAGTAGACCCAGTCACAAAGCTCCGGGTCCCATCCGCAGTACCTTATAAACCATGCATGGCCATGCACACCTATAATCTCAGCACTTGGGAGGCAGAGGTAGGACAACCATGAATTCCACACCACAGAAACCCTGTCCTTTTTTTTTTTTTTTAAAAAAAGGGGGGTGGGGGGGAAGGCAGGGATGTGGTTCTGTGACAGATCACTGGCTTAGCATGTGTAAGTCCCTGGATTCAGTCTCTAGGACCACAGAGCAACAACAGAACTTCACACAAGCCCTTCACCCCCCAACTCCCTCCCTCCCCAAAGTCTGCAATAATGAAACCTACAACAAATCTGTATTACTGGGGCTGGGGAGACACTCCACAGGTGCCAGCCACCAAGCATGACAATCTGAGTTCCACCCCAAGTCCCCCAGGGTGGAAAGAGGAGAACCAACTCCTCTAAGTTGTACTCTGACCTTGTGTGTGAACCCATCCCCGCCAAAGTAAATACAATATTATGAAATTGCAACAACCAAAGACAGGCTGAGTCAGGACCCCTCAGTGGGGTCCTGTTTGCTCTACTCTTCTAGACAGTGTAGTAGGCAAGAAAAAGTCACAAAAGTTGGAAGAATGGGACAAGACAAACCAAATGTGTTGTTAATTGTTGATTGCCAACTAGGAAACTACAAAGAATCTAGCAAGGCATGAGTCTGGATACAAAATACATTTAAAAGGGCAACTGTGCATTATTGTATCCATAAGTATCATTTGAGAGGCAAGAATTGGTTCAGGTATTTATTTTGGTTTTTTGAGACAGGGTTTCTCTTTGACCCTGACTGTCCTGGAACTCATTCTGTAGACCAGCCTGGCCTCATACTCAGAGATCCACCAGCTTTTGCCTCCCTAGTGCTAGGATTAAAGGCATGTGCCACCATGCCCGACTCAATAAATTAAATATATATATATTGGTTTTTCAAGACAGGGTTTCTCTATGTAGTTTTGGTGCCTGTCCTGGATCTCAATCTGTAGACCAGGCTGGCCTTGAACTCAGAGATCTACCTGGCTCTGCCTCCCAAGTGCTGGGATTACAGGTGTGTGCCACCACTGCCTGGCAATAAATGGTATTTTTTTTCTATTGTCCATCTTCTTTATTCCTCTAGGATAAAATCTTATCTACGCAGCTTCAGTTCTGTTCTCATGCCTAGCTCCTTTCGTGCCTGATTTCTCTCTACATTTATCTGCTGTCCCCTCTAAGTTCTACCTTAATTCTCTCATCTTAGTTCTGCCCCATCTTGGTCTTTCTCATCTCATTCGTTCCCATCTGGCTCTTCCTCATCTTCCATCTTATTCTCCTAGTTCTCCATCTAGTTCTCCAGTCAAAATCCTCTCTCAGTCTCTGAGGTTTACAGTTATTTACCCATGCAATAGCTGTGTTCTAACTAAAGCAAGGTCACCAGGCTTGAATTCTTACAGGGACATAAAGACAGACAGGAGTTTTCCTCAGGCAGTGACCTTCAGGCCTTCTTTTACAACCCAAAAGGGGCGTGGTAAAGGAGGAGGTCAACTAAGAGCTAAAATCGGTTAATAAATCAGAAAAAGGGAATTTATGTGCTCAAACTACATTCCTAGAGGTGGTTAGGTAAATGTTAGGAGTCTATAATGTTA